CGTGGACTAAAACCTATAAAGCAAAGAATTTAATCATCAAAACTCTATGAAAACATTTTGGGACATCATATTAAGGAAACTTGTTTAGTAAAGTGGTTCATATACTTTCTTTTACAGTATGACGAGTTCGAATTCAAACCTTAACTTTTTGTGAAAAAAAATTTGAACTCTTTGTTCGATAAGGACCAAAAACCTTTTCTTTTTTTTGCTTTAGACAACAAATCAAGTTGTTGCAGCAATAATCTACTAATTTTTAAATTATGCAATCAGATTTATAGTGGTTAAGTCTTAAAGAAAAACAAGAAGACTATATAACCCTCCTATAAACTAGATAATTAGTCGCTTGATTAAGCAAAAAGAATACTTTACCCTCTTTTGTTTTTTTTTGTTTTATGAAGGGTTTACCTAGTGATTTAAGGCGGTAATACATATAATTAGTAACGTTAGGATTATTTGTATTTTCTTCATAAAATTAGTTTGATCGTTGTATTATGCGAGCTCTTGCTATTTTTTTTTTCTGTCGTATGTGAACTCCTGATTTAAAAAGAGAGAAACGGATGTCAAGAAAGAAGAAGAGAAATGAAAGCAATAGAACGAAGTCGGCCGACATGACGCAATGACTTAGGAAATTAGAACCAAATTTTCATATATTATATAGTTTGGATATTGTTTTTTTTTTTTTTTTTTTGAATAAATAGTTTGGATATTGAATCTTGACCTAGTTATAGAAAATGACTCAGAAACCACTAATATATTGAGATGACGATATGCTTAATGTCTTTCCGCTTTGATAATCGATGTTATCAAAATTGTTGAATAATTGCTCCTCAAGATTTAACGGCACGTGTCAAATTAGTTCCCCAATACACTTCACTTCATGTCTTGAAGTTGCGTATACAAATGGTTCAATTCCAAAGCTAATCTCTTTCTTTTTCATATTTTGATTCGTTTCGTCAACATGGAAAATCATTATATATATCAAATATGATTTTATCCGGAAAAAAATTTAGACATGTGCGATAATCTATTTCGGATTATAATAATACTCTCTAGAAGATTTTTTTTTTCTTAAGGCAGTTAAACTAATACTGATCCAAAGCAGATCGAGTCTTGAGCTGGTAAGATGGCAAAGCTTCGATTGTTTTAAAAGTCAAATTTTAAGCGTCAATTTTTAGGTCTAGTTAGGATCTTTAAATTTTATGACTAGTTTGAAAAAATTACACATTACATATATATTCAAACACAAATGAAAATACAAAAAAGTAATATAGATCTAATTATATTACCAATAATATTGAAGCTGGAGATGGACTTCTTCAACATCTTATAGTAAACGAAAATAATATTATTGTTTCAACATAATTTATCAAAAGAGGATGGTTATAACTTAAAAGAACAAAAATCCTTCTCAAAGTGAACATAGATACATCCCACATTATATTGAACAACAGATAATCCATAAAAGGATCACTAAACTTTCTCTTAACTGAGAAATAAACCGGGAACATGAATAAGAGATTTTGCCAAACAAGAGATTTCAAACTAAAAATATATTAAAATAAAGATATTTCAAATCAAACCAAAATATAAATTAATCAGTACTTTTCTTGTTTTTGAAAAATGTAAAAAAAGAAAAAACAGAAGAAAAAAAACATGATACAATTTCGAGTGACCATATGAATTGATTTAGTAATTTTCGTGATTGAGGGGAACCGAACCTAGACATAAACATACATGGCGACTCTTATTCAAGTGGAAACCACTAGACCACTTAATATTTGATATTTTGGACACTAGAAATATTCCAAAATCACAAACTAATCTATGTTATGGTTGTTTAGCAAAAAAAAAAAAAAACTATTCTTGGTTTATAATTATATATCTCTTTACGTCTCGCTTACTAACATTCGTAAATTTCAGATATTCATAAATTTTCTAAAACTATTAAACCGTAAAATCATAATAATGCGTTAGTTCAAAATCCAGATAAGTTTAAGTCGATCGATATCACATGACTGCAAACGCATTATTGTAACACAATGGCCAATCAAAACGAACTTCTGTGCAGTCAGTGTGACGTGGCTTATTTATATTGGCTGCTGATGACTGCTGCTCTATCTTCTTTGTCTTTCTGGTGCTTCCATTTGTTTTGCTGTCTGTCGTCGACTTTTCCGACAAGATCCACTGTTCGTTTCGGGTTTTAACAGAAAAGCCATGGGCTTCAATTTTTATTGTCATTTTTTCAGTCTCAAGTTTATCCAATAAAACAAGTTACAAGACTGGAGATTGGAGCAGTAGAATATACCAAAACACCAACCCCCTATTGTGATATGATCAGTATTACATTGCAACGACCAAAATCATAAAATCTATCCAATAAAACAAGTTACATGCCGACGTTGCGATGGCTACCATATTAGGAATGTGGCATAACTTAACCCAAAAGCTAGCTCAAGAGTTAAGGATTGCCACATCCTTTATATACTACCCAAAGATCTTAACCCCAAGCAATGTGGGACATTCCTAATATGGTATCAGAGCACAAGGTTGGCCCAACAAGCAAATTCCCACAAAAATGGTTTCTCACTTATGTGGCCCATGCATATAAGTGGCATGTCTTGTTGTATTTCCGAGATGTTGGGCTTGGGCTGTTTCCCGTTGGACCGTTTCCCACCCACATCTCGAGGAGGCCTATTAGAATGTCCCACATTGCTTGGGATTAAGATCTTTGGGTAGTATATAAAGGATGTGACAATCCTTAACTCTTGAGCTAGCTTTTGGGTTAAGTTATGCCACATTCCTAATAATGCAGTGCATATAAATGAAGGTATGGCTATGGCATGTGGGGGCAATTAAATGTTTTTTTTTTGGTAAACATGTTAAGATTGGCAAATTAAATGTTTTGGGACATAGTACAAGTAAATGTTCAAGTTTAATCATTTAATGCATATAAATGAGATCACGTCGTGCTGAATTTGGTTACGGCGCCGAAATGCATACGGTTGCAGTTTCCATATTACCCTTAGCCACATTGTTCAATTGTTTCTTTTTTGGACCTTAACCAATTTTCGATTATCTATAACATCACATCTATAATGGGGTATATCTGCTTTGTTTTATTGTGTGTGAATGATCTCCGTATAGTAGGAGTTAGGCCCGTAACCAATTTGCAAATTTCTTTTTACGTGGATCATACAATAAAATGTCTTTATGTTTTTCAACCAATTCTGCTAAAACTCTACGTACTTAGTTCACAACAATTAATTACTCATTCTGTTTATAAAAATATGAGGTTTTACAATTTTCTATACGACTTTAATTATATTTGATACTATTTTATGATTATTTGTATTTTGCAGTCTTTTTCTAATTGGTTGAATTTTTTAAATCAAATATTTTTTTAAAAAATTACCAATCAGATTTTAGCTTTTTAAAATCTTCCACTCACAACTAATTTTTAGACGCCAACTATCCTCTGTTCTGTTTTTACCTTCACCAACTACAATATTATATTTATTTATTTATTTTGTTTAATTACGCCACATTAACAAAACAAAACCAGATTACAAATCTAACAGTTTTTTTTTAAAAACTAAAAAAACAAACAACAACAACAACATCTGCAATATTTTATGTAGTGGGAAATTTGAATCTCATATATACTGCACCAATATCTGTATTTAAATACAAGTTTTTTTTTTGGCATTGTATATATATAAATAGTCTAATACAAAACGTGAGAAATTCAATAAATGTCCCTCGACAATTGGCCTCGAGATTTAACGTCGGCCTCATCTAGATTTTTTTTTTGATAAAAGGTTTGCAAGCCTCATCTAGATGCTTTTTTTTTTCTGTGGTTATAAATTGATAGGTTCTTAAGTATCCATTAGATCTCTCCGTTTGTCGTTCATATACATTATTATTCAAAACAATAAGAAAATATATTATTCTTAGTAAATAACTTTACGTTTAGGTTATATATTACTCCCTCCGTTCCAAATTATAGGATGTTTAAGCCTTTTTTTCTTGTTCCACAATATAAGATTTTTTCAAATTTTTGTGCATAATTTATGTTTATTTAGTTTATTTATGACCTTTTGAATTTTGCTGTCCTTTTTTCTATTGGTTAAATTTTTATAAATAAATAAACATTTATTATTTCTTAATCTTTGTGCTTTTAACAAAAACATCTTATAATTTGGAACAGAGGGAGTAACACATACTAATTTAGTTAATTAGTAAATGAGTATATTTTTTCTTGGAAATTATAATATTTAGCAGATAATTGTTTTCATTTTATGAGCCAATTTTCTTTATTAATCTCTAGTCATGTAAAAACAAACAAATTTTTTGGCAGTGGATGAGTTTTGATATCTGGCTTCGCCAAGTAAGATGATTTTTCAACTGTTGTGCTGCTTGTACCACTATGTACAATAGGTTAATTTCGCATATTATTTTTATTTTATTTTTTACAGCTAATTTCGCATATTATTTTGTAAGTCAATAAATAAATAAAAAACCTTTAGTTATGCATGCCACTGTAGCCTTCTCTTCTCTCTATATATATGACTTGCTTAGTACTCCTAGACTCATCCTCAGCCTCCTCCTTCATCTCCTCGAGCCTTTTAAAGTAACCAAAGCCATGAATATCTTCCAAGACTGGCCTGAGCCTATAGTCCGTGTGCAATCCTTATCTGAAAGCAACCACGGAGCCATACCTAATCGCTACGTCAAGCCTCTATCTCAGCGTCCAAACATAACCACTCACAACAAACACAACCCTCACACCACCACCATCCCCATCATTGACTTAGGTCGCCTATACACAGACGACCTTACTCTACAAGCCAAAACGCTTGAAGAGATCTCAAAGGCTTGTAGAGAATGGGGATTTTTCCAAGTTGTGAACCATGGGATGAGTCCTCAACTCATGGACCAAGCTAAAGCAACATGGAGAGAATTCTTTCATCTTCCCATGGAGCTCAAAAATATGCATGCTAATTCGCCGAAAACTTACGAGGGATATGGAAGCCGACTAGGCGTAGAAAAGGGTGCTATTCTTGATTGGAGCGACTACTATTATCTTCATTACCAACCTTCGTCTTTGAAGGATTACACCAAGTGGCCTTCCTTGCCTCTTCATTGCCGGTATGTTTTATTCCAAAATTTCTTCTTCCTTAATTAGTTATGATATATAAATTTAAAGGCATTAATTCACGTTTATTAAGCTTCTCCTTTCGTTACATTAAACTTTATTATAAGCTTACTTATGGTGATGGAACTCTTACTTCAAGCTATTCATCAAACCTAGGATAAAAAATTTAAAAAATAATTCACTGTTATATTAAATAATCGTCTTAGAAAACAAAACCGACGTACTAGCTAGTCCGACTTTATTAGTGGATTATTAATTCATAACGCAAGATACATATAATAGTTGTCAATCGAGCATATATATATATTTTAGAGTTTTCAAATTAATCGAAAATTTTGATGAAATTTCACGTACGTTATTGAACTATTAGAGAAATATTGGAGGATTATTGCAAGGAAATGGTGAAACTATGCGAGAAGTTAATGAAGATACTATCGAAAAACTTGGGATTACAAGAAGACAGACTTCAAAATGCGTTTGGTGGTAAAGAGGAATCAGGAGGTTGTTTAAGGGTTAATTATTACCCAAAATGCCCTCAGCCGGAGCTGACTCTTGGCATCTCTCCGCACTCCGATCCCGGTGGATTAACCATTCTCTTGCCGGACGAACAAGTCGCCGGTCTTCAGGTCCGTGGATCCGACGACGTTTGGATCACAGTCGAACCAGCTCCTCATGCTTTCATCGTTAACATTGGTGACCAAATTCAGGTGACTCTTTTATTTGGTTCTTTTTTCCGTATTAGTTACTACTCCCTCCGTATTTTAATAATTGTCGTTTTAGGATTTTTATTTTTTTGAATTGGATGTCGTTTTCAAATTTCTATGCAAAATTTATTACTTTTTAATGTTTTATGACATCATAAAACATTAAAAAGTAAGAAATTTTGCATTGAAATTTGAAAACGACATCTAATTTTTTAAAAAAGAAAATCCTAAAACGACACTTATTAAAATACGGAGGGAGTATTTTATATATAACTTCAAAACTTTAAACCAAAATTCAGACTAAAAACTCGACACTTTTTTGTTGTTTGTTAACTTCTTCTTCATTAGCTAACCATAATTACAATAATCGTGAAGATTCGAACCCCCATGATGCTAACTCTTGACTAGGTTTTTCATTTTTAGACTAAAAATATCAATGGTAAGGAAAATTAGAAAGTAAATATCACGTGGAGGGGACTTAATTTTCATCATCTTCTTTTTTTATTTATTTATTGAAGTTGTTAATTTTGATAAACCACGTGCATGCATCTTCTTCTTCTTTTGTTTCTTGTCCATTTTTTTTTAATAAAGTTAATGGGTAATTGGAAAGAAAACATAAAGTTGATGGGAAACCAATAATGTATTGGTGAAGCCACGTCGCGATATTCATTTCCGTTCTTTAATTCGACATGTGCCTCTATTAAAGGAAAAAAAAAACAAGGAAAAAGAAAAGGTCCAACAAAGGAACAGAAAAAAACAATTTCAACCTCTCACAATTATTTACATGTTTCAAACGTGCTAAAATCAAAATCGCAGACTTAGTCAAGCAAGAATAATTTTCTTCTTCTTTCTTCGTTTTGATATTTTATGATTACTTTCTTTGCTTTGTTAAATTAAACAATTTAATATAAGGACTATCAGAATTTTTATTAATAGATAACCCGTGTAACTTAATGGTTCTTCAAACTTGATAAATTGAATAAGTATTGTCGATAAGAAGAACTAAAAATTGAATGTTCTTTTTTCAATATCTCACATTATTTGGATTGATTGAGAATATTTAACTAACGTTGAACATTTTATTTTTGGTTAGATGCTGAGCAATTCAATATACAAAAGCGTAGAACACAGAGTGATCGTGAGCCCTGCAAATGAGAGGCTATCTTTGGCATTCTTCTACAACCCAAAGGGCAATGTTCCGATCGAGCCATTGAAGGAAATAGTGACCGTAGATTCACCTGCTCTCTACTCCTCCACCACGTACGATCGTTACCGTCAATTCATTCGTACGCAAGGCCCACGTAGCAAATGTCATATCGACGAACTTAAATCCCCTCGATAGTGCGTACTTTTTATTTGTTAAAGGCATTATGTTTTCTTGTTGTATAAATAATGAACAATGCTTCTTTTTATCTGTTAAGTACTGTACTATTTATTGTCTTGTTATGTGAGGATGTTTACATTATGTTTTCTTTAAGGTATATGGGTTTTATTTGTTTTTTTCTTAATGTTTACATGTTCAACTATTGTGTGTGTTTGATTAATAATATTTGTTTTCAAAATATTTCTGATGTTTTATGTTTATGCCATATATTGTTGTTTGCGGTCTTGTTTTTTAGATGTGAAGATTTCTCGGTTTTTGGCTGGTGCATCTCTTGTAGCCATAAACTTTTTGTTAAAGCTCTTGAATAAAGAGTTTTTGGGAAATGAGTTATGTTTCCAAGTTAGTTGATTAGTCATTCTTTTCAATCGGTTCTGTTAAGTGAATTAATGATATGGAAGTATCTTTCTAACTCTACGAACTTTTTTTCCCTGATAAAGTCTCTACGAATTTTTATAATTAAATATGTGGTTTAAACAAAATTTATTTACTCAGTGTTGAGTGTTTAATGATCTCTACATCTGATTTGGATTGTTCTTATACTTCTCTGAGATGATGATTCTTTGATCCATTCATTTCAGATCAAATCCACTTTGAGTTTATTAGGATCTGATACCATAGAAAAAATCATAAACATCTATTAGTAATAAATGAATTAGTTCATATATATATATATATGTATATATATATATATATGTATATATGTATATCTACTATATTTTAGTGTTGATCTCTTCGCATATTTTCATGTCGATCCTAAAAAAGAAAAATTTCAAACATTTCCATTATAAAAAGCGAGAAATTATCGTGTGTCTTATACTTAGACACGCAAAACACGTAAGTCGCGATCAATGAATAGACGATAAGAATTGACCTCATGCATATGCAGCCAACCCATCATAACCATTTTTCAATGCTACGTACCATTCCAATAATAAATATATAGAATCCCTACTCTACTTTTTAAAAAAATTAAACCTACATCAAATTCTGTTGATTTTAGCCATATAAACTTAATATCAATTGAACGTAACAAAATTTTAACGCATTGGCGAATAATAGCAAATTAAGTAAGTAAAATTCGAATAAAACTTTTACCAAAGCTAAGATTATGGCGAAGTATTGGACCATAGGCCATACTATTGTATATGGGTAGACTAGTCTTCTTGTTTGAAGTTTCAGAAATCGTTTCTTCCTCTGATACCATATCAAAGAATGTGTGTCAAAGAATGTGTGAATATTTTCTATATATTCATGCCTTAGAACGGCTCATATTTATACAAACGATTAACCCTAATTGATAACGAATAACCTAATTTATACATTAACGAAAGACTAATCTACCCATATACAATAGTTTGGCCTATGGCCCAATATGAAGTACCATATACCATCGAAGCTCCTTCCTCTGCCCCATCTCCCTCTTTATTGCTGTTCTCTTGCTGCTCCACGGATCAGCTCTCGATCTCCCGTTGTTGGTGTTGCCGCTAGCGGATTCTTAGATCTCGATCTCGGTACTTTATTGTCGCGGGCAGTAATTCATTGTCGCGGGCAATTATTAGAGTTGAAAATGCAAGATAAATAATTATATGGTTGTGAAAACGTTAAGGGTAAACTGATTTAGCGATTATCAGATTGTCAACGCAACTATGGTTGTAAAAAATGTAAAAATAAGAAAGAAACCTTTTTATTGTTTATGTTCAATTGATAGTTAAATTTTAGAGTATGCATATCGTTTAGTAGAAAATTTGTCAGAATATCGAGCTTTATGTTTGATGGAAGTTTTGACCCATCAAGCACATAAAGATTCATGAGCCTAGTAGAGCCGAAAAGCCCACTAATATTTATGAGCCCAGAAAGTGGTGTATGAATCATAACCTAATTTAATTCACACATTCTTTATTATTTTTAAGTGATTCTTGTTGTGAAACTTATTGTTGTCTCTTCTCATTCCATGAATAATGATACATATATATAGGCATATAAACCTAGGGTTTTAGAGTACATAATGAATAACCCTGATGGGCTTATTGGGCCCGGTTATAAGTCCAATATGATGTATTATAACACTCCCCCTTGGACGGAGTAACCGGACCTGATGGTCAATCGGGATCTCGATAATACGCTGGGGAATGTTGCCTCATTAAAACCTTACCAGGAAAACCCAGTGGGAAAAACCATGGTGAAGGAAAAAGAGTACAACACGCATTACTCCCCCTGATTAGAGCATCACCGTAGATCTCTAAGTCTACGCATTCCTATTTGTTGGATGAGCTTCCGGAGTGTTGAAGCGGGCAATGATTTGGTGAAAAGGTCGGCGGAGTTATCGCTTGATCGGACCTGTTGAACGCTGATCGTACCATCCTTCTGCCAATCCGAGGTTGAGAAGAATTTAGGTAGGATGTGCTTCGTCCGATCTCCTTTGATATAACCTTCCTTGAGTTGAGCAATGCAAGCCGCGTTGTCTTCAAACATAACCGTGGGCTCCTTATCTTCTTTCATACCACAATCTGATCGGATGTGCTGAGTCATGGATCGTAGCCAAACACATTCTCTGCTGGCTTCGTGAATGGCCAAAAGTTCTGCATGGTTTGATGAAGTGGTAGTGATTGTCTGCTTTATCGATCTCCAAGAGATAGCTGTTCCTCCATGCGTGAACACATAACCAGTTTGAGACTTGGCATTGTGCGGATCTGATTGATATCCTGCATCAGCAAAGCCAACTAGTCCATCCTTGTTGTGGTTAGTGTAAAACAGTCCTAAGTCTTTAGTACCTTGAAGGTATCTTAGGAGGTGTTTGATACCATTCCAGTGCCTCTGAGTTGGACATGAGCTGAAGCGAGCTAGGAGGTTCACGGCAAAGCAAATGTCTGGTCTAGTGTGACTAGCCAAGTACATTAACGCTCCTACAGCACTGAGGTATGGCTTTTCTGGACCGAGAATTTCTTCATCGTCCTTCTTGGGACCGAGTGGATCACTGTCCAATCCTAGGCTCCGAACAACCATTGGGCTGGTCAATGGGTGGGCCTGGTCCATGTTGAATCGCTTGAGTACTTTTTCAATATAAGCCGCTTGATGCACAAGGATTCCTCCTTTGACGTACTCAAGTTGTAAACCCAAACAGAATTTAGTTTTACCTAGGTCTTTCATTTCGAATTCTGCTTTCAAGCAGTCGACTGTTTGGGAGATTTTACCAGATGTTCCGAGGATGTTTAGATCATCCACGTAAACTGCTATGATTACAAATCCTTTGTTTGAGTATTTCTTGATGAAAATGCATGGACTGATGGGATCGTTTTGTAGCCTTCTCTGATGAGATATTCACTTAACCGGTTATACCACATACGTCCACTTTGTTTCAGTCCATACAAGGATTTGTTCAGCCTGATGCAGTATTGATCTCGAGATGCATGCTTATCTTTAAGCTCTATGCCATCTGGTAATCTCATGTATATTTCATTGTCCAGGGGCCCATAGAGATATGCGGTGACAACATCCATTAACCGCAAATCTAGATTTTCTCTTATGGCCAGACTTATGAGGAATCGAAAAGTAGTTGCATCCACCACCGGAGAATAAGTCTCCTCATAATCGATTCCGGGTCTCTGTGAGAATCCTTGTGCTACAAGCCGTGCTTTATAACGAACAACTTCACCGAGTTCGTTTCTCTTATGCACAAAGACCCATTTATGGCCCACTGGTTTGACATTGAATGGTGTCCGGATGATCGGATCAAACACATTCCTGAGTTTGAGACTCTTTAACTCCACGTTTATGGCTTCTTTCCATTTTAGCCAGTCTGTTCTATGAGTGCACTCTGTGATAGACGTGGGTTCTAGATCCTCTTGCGTGTTCGCAATATCAAGTGCTACTTTGTATGCAAAGAGTGCATTTAAGTCGACTTCATTTCTGTTCCATTGGATTCCAGACATGTTGTAATTGATAGAGATCTCATCGTTATCGATCTCGTCAGAACCTAGAGATTCGGCGTCCCGAACCTCTTCTGGTGGTTCATTAGAGAGAGTCTCAGCGCGCGCTATGTCTGTTATATTGGGAATCCCGGTTTCAACTATTGCACCTTTCTTTGATTTCCGTGGATTCTTGTCTTTGGAACCTAGAGGTCTGCCACGTTTATGTCGTGATGCAGGCTCTATAGCAACTTGAACTTGTCCCGTTGGGACAGTGATTCGTACTGGTGCATTACAAGCTGGTATGTACGATTTGGTTACTTTGTTCGGGTCAGCAAAGGAATCTGGCAATTGATTAGCTAGCTTTTGATAGTGTATAATCTTTTGGATCTCTGAATCACATTCTAGAGTCCGAGGATCTTGCCAATTTAAGGATGTTTGATTCCATGATAGCTTTTTGACCAGCTTGTGTTTCTCTCCACCCAATGTTGGATATACCGATTCATCAAATTGGCAATCCGCATATCTGGCCTTAAATAGGTCTCCAGTGGTCGGCTCGAGATATTTGATGATGGTGGGAGAATCAAAACCAACATATATTCCCATCCTCCTTTGAGGTCCCATTTTGGTTCTATGTGGTGGAGCAATGGGTGCATAGACTGAGCACCCAAATGTTTTGAGATGGGAGATGTCTGGCTCATGACCCGTTAATAATTGGGATGGGGAATATCTATGCTCACTAGATGGCCGGATGCGTATTAATTCAGCAGCATGTAATACTGCATGTCCCCAAGCTGAGACCGGGAGTTTCGACCTCATGAGTAATGGTCGAGCAATCCATTGGATTCGTTTAATGAATGATTCAGCAAGTCCATTCTGAGTATGGACATGTGCCACAGGATGTTCAACGGTTAACCCCATGGCCATACAGTAATCATTAAACGCTTGGGAAGTGAATTCACCAGCATTGTCAAGACGTATAGTCTTTAGTGGGAAGTCTGGAAAATGGGCTCGTAATCTGATGATTTGAGCCAACAACCTAGCAAAAGCTTGGTTCCGAGAAGACAATAGGCAGACATACGACCAACGGGTCGAAGCGTCTATTAGTACCATGAAGTACCGGAATGTCCCAGAAGGTGGGTGAATGGGACCACAGATGTCTCCTTGGATTCTTTCCAGAAAATGTAATGTCTCTTTGGACACTTTTACTGGTGAAGGCCGAGTGATCAACTTCCCTTGGGAGCAAGCTGTGCACATGAGGTGCTGAGGGAAGACTCGGTTTTCTCGAAGGGTGTGTCCTTGAGAACTTTGGATTAATTTACGTATCATGGTCGTACCGGGATGACCAAGCCGGTCGTGCCAAATAGTGTAGTCTTGGAATCGGGCTTTGAGAGCATTATTAGCCTTAATCATACTGACCTTAGCATAGTAAAGGCCAGTAGATAATGTGGGTATAGTCTCGAGGACTTGTTTATGGCCAAGTGTGATCTTAGTGATCAGTAGGGATTCTTTGTTCCTTTCACCCTGGGTTTCTATGTGGAAACCATTAAGTCTGATATCTTTAAAACTCAAAAGATTTCTTTTTGAGCTGGGTGAGTATAATGCATCTGGAATGTCCAGATGTGTGCCGTTTGATAACAACACATGTTCAGATGATAGGATCAATTGAGGAGATCTGAGATCTCGTAGTCTATGGGATCGGTCGGCTCGGTGGTGGTGTCGTCAGCATCAACTTGCTGGGCCATGTTAGCTTCAGCAGGTGCTTTCCCATGTTTCTGATACAAATCGTAATGAAACTTGGGAGTACGACAGTTCTTTGTCCAGTGATTGAACATTCCGCATCTGGTGCAGGCTGATTGGTTGGGTGGGCAGGGCGGTTTGGTTTAGAGATACCACGGCCCTTACCGGAACCATAACCGAGGTTATGTCGGTTGCCACGTCCATTTCCACGTCCATTCCCATGTCCACGGCCACGATCTGAGGATCTGTCTCGCTGGACATTGTAGGATTCTTTGCGGGAATCTGGTACTGGAGCCGATCCCGGGGGCCTCTGGGCACTGTTCCTCATTAACAGGTCATTGTTTTTCTCGGCCAAGAGCAAACAGGATAACAAATCTTCGTACAATGTATGTTTCATTGCACGATATTGTTGCTGAAGCACAATATTTTGGGTATGGAAGGTGGATAATGTTTTCTCGAGGAGATCATTATCAGACACCTCTTCACCACATAGTTTCATGATTGAAACTATCCGAAAGAGTTCGGAGTTGTAGTCATCCACAAATTTGTAATCTTGGAACCGGAGTTCCTTCCAGTCAAACTTGGCTTGTGGCAAGAGCACCGTTTTCTGGTGATCATACCGTTTTTTTCAGGGCCACCCAAAGTTCGAGTGGGTTCTCAAGAGTGAGATATTGCTGTTTGAGGCTTGCGGCCAAATGATGGCGGATATGAAATATCGCCTGGGACCGGTCTTTATCAGATGCGGTGTTATCCGCTTTGATACACTCACCCAGTCCCTTTGAGTTGAGGAAAATCCTGGTGTCCATGGCCCATTCGAGATAGTTTTCACCGGAGACCTTGAGGGCCTCGAACTCGACTTTTTGAATGTTTGACATCTGAAAACATGAAATTGATTTCATTAGGGGTTTGTTATTTGAGAAAAGTTTCTAATTTGGGAAACTTTCTAAATGAGGAAAGTTTCTATTTTAGGAAACCTCCTAAATGAGGAAAGTTTCTATTTGAGGGAAACCTTCTAAATGAGGAAAGTTTCTATTTGAGGAAACCTTCTAAATGAGGAAAGTTTCTATTTGAGGAAACCTTCTAAATGAGGAAAGTTTCTATTTGAGGAAACCTTCTAAATGAGGAAAGTTTCTATTTGAGGAAACCTTCTAAATGAGGAAAGTTTCTATTTGGGGAAACCTTCTAAATGAGGAAAGTTTCTATTTGAGGAAACCTTCTAAATGAGAAAAGTTTCTATTTGAGGAAACCTTCTAAATGGGGAAAGTTTCTATTTGAGGAAACCTTCTAAATGAGGAAAGTTTCTATTTGAGGAAACCTTCTAAATGGGGAAAGTTTCTATTTGAGGAAACCTTCTAAATGAGGAAAGTTTCTATTTGAGGAAAGTTTCTATTTCGGGAAACCTTCTAATTTAGGAAACTTTCTCGGAAATCGTAAATTTTAAGGATACGGTTTGGTTTTACAGAACATAAGTTCGGTTTAGTGGTTTAAAGTTGAACCGGAATATTAGATTCTGGTTTAAAGTTGGGCCGAATTGATTTCCGGTTTAGAATAACCAGTTTGAACCGGTTTACCCAGATTGAGATCCGGTTATTATTTTCGGAACCGGTTTGATAATCGGTTTAACCGATGAACCGAATTGATATTCGGGTTTAGGGGTTAACCAAGAATGATTTCCGGTTTAGGGGATACACGAATTAGGGTTTTCGTTTCTCTTTGAGGAAAACGATTTGAATTTTGCGGTTTTCAAACGCAAAACGTTTTTAGGGTTCATGCGATTTTAGGTTTTGATTTCTATCAATTTATGCATGCAATCAATCATAGAAATAATCAATCTAAACAACCTAAACAACCTCAATCAATCGATTTATATTTTAGGGATTTCGGATTTGATTTGATTTAGGTTTTAAGGTTTCAGCCATGGCTAAGTGTTTTCGATTTTGAGAGTTAGGTTTAAGCAATAACTTTTCTAACAACTTAAACGAGTCAAGCAATCGAATCATACAAGCAAAAGCAATCACTTAATCAATCATTATCCGTTTTTAAGATTTCGCTTTGCATTAGGTTCAAGTTCGATTTTTGATCTTTAAGCTTTTAAGGTTTTGTTTTTACCTTTCACCAATTGGGGTTGAACGGATTGAACCGGGAGCTTAAGACCTCGGTAACTCACGCTGTCGATGAACAGTACCGATGAACAGTGTCGGCGTGAACAGTGTTTTGCGATTTTTAGGGTTAGGGTTGTTAAGAGCAAACTCGTGCTGATAATGTGTTGTGAAACTTATTGTTGTCTCTTCTCATTCCATGAATAATGATACATATATATAGGCATATAAACCTAGGGTTTTAGAGTACATAATGAATAACCCTGATGGGCTTATTGGGCCCGGTTATAAGTCCAATATGATGTATTATAACAATTCTGTTAATTTTTAATGGTCAAGCATTTTTTTATTCTTTTGGGGTTGGTTACAGATTAAATCGATGTAGAAACTGGGCTCTACTAGGAAGATAAACGAAAAATCTCTATCATGAAATGAGACTAATTTGCATCCCTACCAAATTTTCATATTTATTTAAGAGTATATTACATTACTTAAACGTAAATTGTATTAAGAGGTAAATACATTAGTTTGTTGAAATATATATTTGCCTCTATCCATGATTGTGAAATGTTGAAGCCGACTACGCAAATATATCTAACACTTGAAAATTAATGTGAGACAAATCTAAAGGTGACTTGTGGCATGAATTATTACGTTACATTTATCCGAAATCGTTAATTGGTATAATATGAAATAATCTTAGAGATAAGACAAACATGTCGTCTTCTATATTACTTGATGATTGTCGATTTGGGATTAGAGAGAGCGACCTAGCCATTTAAAGTTGCTAGCATGTGCTCGTGTGTGTGTGGACGTGTGTCTCGACTTCTCCTAGCAACGAGTGGTTCATATTAATTAATTATGCAAACACGATTTTTTTTTAAAACACAATGTGCTACGTGGATGGTCTGAATGGGTCTAAGCTTTGAGTAATTGAAATCGTCGAGAAGATTAATGCAAAAGATTTAGAGATAGGCTGATTAATGATTATGAATAAAGATAATCAAATTGAAGTTGAACCGAGTCTAAAATCAAACCAAACCAAACCGAGATAAAGTCCGGTTAAGGAAGATGTGTCCATAAAGAAAGAAACGAAAAGGAAAAATGCAAATACACGAATGAGTAAAGAATCTGTATTTTCCTATTGGCTCTATTTTCCTTTTTTTAACTCCAACACTCATGTTTCTGACGCGTGTGCTTCACGTCCCATTCCTATTTAACGAATATATCTTATATTTTTTTTTCAAACGGTTTACAAAAAAAAAAATATATATATATATATATATTTTTTTTTCTCAAATAAAAATAAAATATAGAAGTGGGTTTGAGTGACCTTTGAAACTTTGAGCAGCTAATAAAATGGTCATATAATAAAATGATGAACCAAGCTTAGAGTATTATTCAGTATTTACTCTATTTGTAAACACTTTAATTATATTTGCTATTAGTCATGATTTTCTGATAAAAAACACTTCAAATTATTATTGATTCCGTTTGATATGGTTCATTATTGATATTTGAAACATGACAATAAAACTATATAATCCTAATTCTTATCAAAATAAAATATATGTTTAGTTGATCATATATACTAATGATTGATAATATTAAATAAAAAAAATGTTTGGCTAACGAAGATGTCAACGACTTTGATATAATTAGTTCACTTTTGCTATGATTAAAACGTTGTCCGCCAGATTTGGCCCATTTCGTCCCTCACACTCAGTGCCGGCTCAATATTTTGATGGGCTTTAGGGCAAAAAAAATTTGGGCCCTTAAATTTTTTTTTATAGTGTTTTGTGTTATAAAAACTTTTTTTATGATATTTTTAATAAAAATTTAATTATTAAAACTTAAAAACAGTGATGACAAAAAAAAAAAAACTTAAAAACAGTAAATAAATTTTTTTTGGGCCCTTAGAAATTTTATTTTTATGTTGTAATCTATGTTTTTAATATTTTTGTATAAATATTTTAAAAAATGGGCCCCTTAATTATTAGAACTCGGAATTGGGCCCCTGGCCGTCGCACCGCCCGCCCCATATTCTGAGCCTGCACTGCTCACACTCACATAATTACATGACTTTTCTTACACATTTTTAACCCCATAAAAAAATCATACAAACAAATCGTATTTACCCCACATTTTCCTAATTCTTTTTGGCATCATCTAGTTGGCAGCCTTTGAACATTGATTTCCTTTTTCTTTATAAAATCTCTCCTTAAATCTTATTTTAATAACATAAAATCAAATAATAAATAAAATAAAATCCAAAACGCAACAAGTGGAGCGCGTGGGGATCAAATTCATAAATGTCATTCTCAAAAAGAGACTTGATCGAACCATCGCCATAGCTTCTCTCTAATTTAATTAAAAATTAAAATTATTCATTTTTGATTGCTTTATTTTCTTCTTCAAGTCTCTCTTTTTCAGATTCTGAAATTTTGGTTTTCTTCTTCTTCTTCTCCGACTCTCTCATGGCCGAGTTGACTCAGGCCGATGTTGTTTACTCTCCTCGTTCGTTTCAAGTATGGAAGACTTTGGTGAACTGGCTTGCTTTTTTCTATCAGATCTTCCTTCAGATCCTTCGTGCCGTTGGTTATCATCCTCTTCTCTCTTCTTCTGCTAAAGCCTCCGCTGATGGTTTTAAACCTTTGCCTGCTATTGAGTTGCTTGATAGGGCTTCCGAATTTCCCACCACCGTCGATATCGCATCCACGACGACTTCGGATTCCAGCGATTGCCAACGCAGCCGCTTTCAGAGACTCAAAGTATGTTGTTGAATTAGTCAAAGTCTTTTTGGAATTAGTTTTATTTTGACATTTTTTTTGGTGGCTTGAAGATATTTTGCTCTATGGAATTTAGAATCTCTGTGAAGGCTAATTAGGGAGGAACAAGACTTGAAATTTGGATGAGCTCACTATGTTAGAGTGATACATATCAATCTTGTTTACTGGTTTACTTCATTGTTCATTAAAAGATTGAAATTTGTTTGCTTTTAACATGTGCATAAACGAGTCTACACAGAGATTACAATCCTGTGGTAGAATTTTACTGCTCAAGCATATAATTTTGAACCAAAAGAAGTGTTTTTAATCAATAGGAAAGTAAACTTGAATTCGAGTTTTCATGTGATACTCAAGTCTGTAGGTAAGCTCACAAATTGATGCATAACGAAGCATATGTTTATGGAGCTACTTTTGTTGATGAGTTTATTGCTTTTCTCATTGTGACATTCATATAATCATGCATGATAAGCGATGGTAGGTGTCAATGAAAGTAACAGAGTATTCTTTGATTTATAGTATTTTGAGTATCATGTATCTTCCTGATTCTGTTACTCGTCTTGCAAGACTTGTGAAACATTTTTTTTTCGTATGTTTGACTTGTGAAACATTTTTTTTTATTGTATTCTTATAGCATCACTCACGTTGAAAGCATACTTTTATTGGATTAAGGAGCCTTTGATTGCTTAGTTAGGTTAGGTGTCAGCAGCATCCTGCAGATTTATGGTCTTTTTTTGTCTGGAGTCAATTAGAAAAGTCTAGTATCTATTGGTAGTTATAAGAGTAATCTGACAACTGAAGATGTGTTTGCAGGTAGTTTTAGACTTGGATGAGACGTTAGTTTGTGCATATGAGACGTCGAGTTTACCTGCTGCTTTACGCAATCAAGCTATTGAAGCCGGATTAAAGTGGTTTGAGCTGGAGTGCTTATCAACAGACAAGGTTTCTTCCAGAACATGTTCTTCTCAAGTTAATTCACTTTTTGTTGATTTTCCATATTATGACACAAGTCACTTTTCTTTATGAAGGAGTGTGATGGGAAACCTAAGGTCAATTATGTCACTGTGTTTGAGCGTCCTGGACTGCATGAGTTTTTAGAGCAACTCAGCGAGTTTGCCGATCTAGTTCTGTTTACAGCTGGTCTTGAAGGTCTCTTGATATACTTCTCAGTGTCATTATGTTCTGGTCTCAAATTATTGCTCAAATACATAATCCTAACAATTGAAAATTCATGCTTCATGCTTACAGGATATGCGAGACCGCTTGTGGATAGGATAGATACCAGGAAAGTGCTCAGCAACCGACTTTATCGACCTTCAACAGTCAGCACGTAAGTTGTCCTGAATTGAGTTGCCCTCTTTTATCTTTTAAGAAACGAGTTTGTGGTAAGGTTACTGAGAATTTATACATTGTGTGCAATTACCAAACAGGCAATACCGAGATCACGTCAAGGATCTGTTAAGCACATCAAAGAATATGTGTAGGACAGTAATTGTGGACAACAATCCTTTCAGCTTTTTATTGCAACCATCAAATGGAATTCCATGTATTGCATTTTCCGCAGGGCAGCCAAATGATACTCAGGTCTCTATTAGTTATTACTCTTCATACATTTTTCAACCCTTTAGATTATTATTAACTCTTGGATTCTAATCGGATTATAAAACTTGAAGCTCTTGGACGTTATTCTACCGCTTCTGAAGCAACTGTCAGAGGAAGACGACGTACGACCGACACTTTATGATCGGTTCCGCATGCCTGAATGGTTTGAGAAGCAAGGCATACCACCTTCATGCTGGAAGCCTTAACCGGTTAAGCGGAAAGTAATGGCGAAAACCGAAATATCAGAAGTCTCTGGTCCACACAAAAAAAGGCCAAAGGACTTGTTTGGTACATCAGTAGTTTCAGCAATGGAAGCCACAGGAGAAGGAAGGCACATAAACTACCATCCGTATTGTTTATAATCTATGGTAGATTCCTTTTAAAGATAAACTCTTCTACACATTCTTGATTTCAAGTGATTCTGTAGCTTTCTCTGTAATTTTGTTAATGATCAAGCATTCTTTTCCTTTTCTGGTTGGTTCGGTTTGGATATACCGACATGGATTAAACCGAAGTAGAAACTGGGTCTGGTAACTGGTATGAAAATAAGCAGAAGTTTACTATGCATGTCATCATATGAGACAAATTTACATTCCTAACTTTTAGAACATGAAATGTCAATGATATTACATCTGGAATCTAAGACAAGTGACATACTATAGAATATGACACATAAATGCTGAAAAAACTTCATGCTTTTTGAGTTTCTTAACAGGATCCAGCAGCAAGAAAGTATCTGCCTTAGATTGAAATTCTGAATTGGGTTAAAAGTTTATGTCAGGATCCAGCAAAAAGTGTTTGGGAAAGATTGGCAATGTTCCTAATCTTAGCTAGCAGACATTATTACAATCTCCTTCCCTAAACAATAGTACCCTTTTATCAGTTTTAAAAGTTTTACAGGTCAAAAGATTTCGTGAGTTACATTACAAGACCTGTCATGTTCCTATTTCTTATAATTAAATGTATTTTTTGCAACTAATCTTTAATTTTTTGGTCGGCCCTTCTCATGTTTGTTGTTAATAAGTGGATTGTTGTGAGCTGTGCTTATGACTTCTAAGGCTTCTCTTTTTGCACATCTAAATTAAAGTCTATCTACTCCCATGAAGTTTACTTTTTTTTTGTTTTATACTATATTCTTTCAATTTCAGCTGGAAACCAATATCAAGAAATACGACGCGTGATGGAAATTCTTAAATTGCATTGAGAGATTAGGGATACATACATTACTTTCATTGATATATGTTTATTTGAGTTTATTAGTAGGTCACTGATGTGAGTTTTAGTTTAGTGTCGAATTAAGTTCGTACGCAATTCACTAGTCTTGCATGCATTTTAGTTATTAGAAAAATAATAATGCAAGAACGATCACTGTTTGAACAGTACGAAATTAATTAGATAAATTTGCTTTAATAAAAGGGCCGTGTTACGTGATTATTGTCGTGAAAAACAATATAAACGGTTTGACAATTTAGTTCTCTAACTAATATATTGTTGTACGGTTTGACATTATTTGTCGCATATGTTACTTTTTTTAAGGATTCAACTATTGCAACAAATACCAGCACTCTAATTATATTTAAACAAGAAAAGTTTATGAAAACTGCAGCCTATATGAATCACTCAGGGTGGTTGAAGGCATCTTAAATATACAATTTTTAAAAAATTATTATTGGTTTTCCAGTTTTCCAAAGTAAAAATAAATAAAATATTTAGTTTGACCCCAAGAAAATAAATAAATAGAACATTTTTGATTAATTGATTCATCACTTCCGGTTTTTGGCAAAAAAAAGTATTCTACTATAAGAAAATTATGAAAGACTTAATTACAAATTTACGATAGATCATATAAATCAAACATTGAGTAAAAGGTACTAATAATTAACAAAATTATGGTGGTTTAGTAGTTTGAAATTTCACTATAGAGATGGAGAACATGATATGCATTGTCCCACTTTTTTTTTTTTGGAACAAAATTCATTGTCCCACTATGATATCAATTTAGGTTGATTACTAGAAATTTAAAGATGATATAGGTTTTTGGTTTGAGATTTTCGATTGATATAATTAGAAAATACTAAAACGATTTTTTTTTTTACTGTTTTCATGATATTTTACAACATATATAGTAGTGATCTAAAAGACTCACCAAAATGAAGTCTTCTTTCCATAGATATCTTGCAGTCTGAGAATAAAACAAAAAAGAAACTTTATTTTCGATCCCAAAAGAAAAAAACTTATTGACGCATTACATATGTTTAGACTTAGTCAATTAGTCCCCCGATTGTTAGATTTACATCATTAGAACACTGATTTTTTAATAGTTGACCGAGCAAACAATCCACTTGAATTTTCCCAAATGGATAAATAAAAAACTTTATATACCAAATGATTGTTGTAACACCATTTCTTTAAACTTATGTTTAACAGTATCATGTTGCTATTAAATCACATAAAACATCATTTTTACATTAAACAAACACAACAAAAAAAACAAACCAAGATATTCGAGGACGTGAAGTTCATGCAAACATGTGTGTAGTCGTAGATATGTTACCCATGGTTTTCAACAGATAATTTATCTTTATATCTGACAAGTACATGTATGTAGACACAATATAGATGTCGGAAATTGAATTTATACAAATTTGAATATATAAAAATCAAAAGAAAGGAGACATATGAATATATGATATATATATATATATATATATATATATATATATATATATATATATATATATAAAGGTGAGGGGATACAAGTCAAAACTATCTAATATGTGCATAAGATTCAGAGAAGGTTATTTCTCCAAGTCTCTAAGTCTGGTCTCAACTTTGACTTCAAATTCTTTCATATAATTTGAATAATGGGATAATAGTCTATTTTGCCACTTTGTAACTCAATTTTTTTGGATTTGCCACTTTCTAAAATATTTTAGATTTACCACTTTTTGTCACTAAAAAACTTAAACATTTGAGATTTTTTTTTTAATAAAATACATACATTTTTTTCTTTTCTTTTTTCATTGTAAAATAGTAAAATACATACTTAATAATAAATATTATACCCTACAAAATCTGTAAATGCTACTAAAAAAATGGCAAAATTAGTAATTGATTCTTGAATAATACTGACTGAATGTTACTAATTATTTTGAACCAGTTAATTACAATATTGAACCGAACCATAGCTAATTATTGGTATAATACTACAAATCAACGAAATCACGCTACTGAAAGAATTCAGTAGAAGTTATTCTTTGGTCAAATATAGGCAGCCATTGAATATGTTTTGCTTTACAATTTACTGTCGTTTTCAGTTTATCATTTCCTCTCTCAGTTTTTTTTCGTACTTTTCGTCAATCAATTTTCTTTATTACAAAGCCCTAAAAAGTACATGCGCGTTATAGAATCCACGAATCATTCTTTCCTCAATTTCTCCAAAAGATTTATTTTATAAATATTAACTTAAATATTTTGTTTTTAGTTTCGAGAGATCGGTTTTCATCGTGGTAAATCTTATCCGCATATGTTATAAAAAAAATAGGTTGTTGTGCTTCTTGGTACTTATGTATTTCTTAGGTTTAAGCATGGTTGTTTTTGTTCTTAGTTTATCTTTCAAAATATCTGTAGCGCAAGTTTTGATTGACAACATATTGTTTTCTTGTGTGAAAAGGTACTTTTGGTTTTATGGTTATAGAATTTTTCATTAATGATCTATCTAACTTTTATAAGATTTCATTGATCTTATTGACAAAACAAAACTATATATAATTGATTCTAAATTGACCCATAGATGGGTAGATATTACTTATTCTACTTTGTATTATAACCAATTAAGGGTAGTTGTTGAATGAGGAAGGTCTAGGTGAAAAAAGATTTAGAAAATATTGAATTCTAGTACTCTAGATATGCATACTTTAGTCAAACACAGAAATTGGAAAGTTCAACAAACAGAAATTCACAGTTTTATAACTTCACAGAACATTTAAAAAAAAAAAACCATTTTGGAAACATAGACCTTATAGTTTGAATTACAAGAAATATATTACACACTTTACTGTTTACATATGACAATTTAATTCTCTTTATATTATTCACACTACTTTCTTATCATATGAGCGGTTGTTGCATGACTAATATAAATCAGCACATATACAACGTAGTAGTTGTGGTATTTAAATATTGAAACGGCCCAAATAATTCAATTCAAAATTTTATTTGAGAATCTTTAAAAGGTAGTAGTAAAGATAATTTGTTTAGTAAAAATATATCTTAATTAATTACCAAATAAACACTCTTGTTATATATATCTACATAAAGATACTGAATTTCCTTTTTTCAATTCTCATAATTATTTTACAAAATTTAATTTATACCATTAATGTTGTAATAAATAAAAAATCAAAAATAAAGACAAAAAAACGTGACTCTAACATATTTTAAAACGCATTTCTTAAGCAATTCTCACTAATTTGTAATTACTGTTTTGTCTCTAATAAATCTCACAAACGTCTTCGTCTTCTTCTTTCTTCTTCTTCTTCGTCTTCTTCTCTCTCGTTCTAACAGAGTCTTGTTGAGTTCTGAAAATGAACCAATCCGACTTAGAATCAACGACGACGAAGACGCCAGTCAAATTCAACCTCTGTAGATGAAGAGGTTTATCAATTCAACCGTGACGTTTTCCGTCACCGTCGCCGTTATCTTCTTCCTTTTGTCTCCCGTCACCTCCTTAGGTTCAGGCTCAACTTACGCCGTCGTCTACGGCTCCGACACCGTCTGCGCTTTAATCTCCGGCCAATCCACACAGCGTATCCTCTGTTACGACACCCGCCGTAGTACCAACGTTACTCTAAACCCCGGCGTCTCATTCTCCTCAATCGCCGCCGGAGATAATTTCCTCTGCGGTATACGCTCCGGTGGTTACAGCCTTCTCTGTTGGGATAACATCGGAAGCTACTCTCCTAACCGTAAACGAATCTACCAAAGCGACACCGTTTTGCTCGAGAATCTCTCCGTCGGCGATAAACAAATCTGCGCCACCGTAAACGGCACAAATTCTTTAAAATGCTGGAGAGGTTCCGATCAATCAAAACCTCCGAACGAGAGATTCCAGTCAATTTCATCCGGCGTTGGTTTCTCCTGCGGCGTTTCGATTCGAAATAACCAAATCCTTTGCTGGGGAACCGATCCGGTTAAATCGAATCAGATCCAAACCGGATTCGGAAACACGACGATGGTTACCATATCTGCAGGTGAATCACATGCTTGTGGATTAAACACTACTGGGAATTTGATTTGCATCGGAAACAACGATTCTGGGCAGCTCAATGTTCCTTCAGATCAAACTAACCATTACTCATCTCTCTCTCTCGGATCAAATTTCACTTGCGCGATGCGAATCTCGAACAATTCGGTGGTTTGTTGGGGCGGAGGAGCAGAGAGATTCAACAATGTCACGGATTCGATCTCATTCGAGTCGATTTCTTCGGGTCCGGGTCTAATTTGCGGGTTAATTTCAAGTAATCTCTCTATAATGTGTTGGAATCCTTCAAATTTCTCAAGAATCTTCCTCCCTTTCCCAGAAGTTTTACCAGGTCCTTGCGTTGAATCATCATCTCTTTGCTCTTGTGGTATTTATCCACAATCTGATAAGCTCTGTTCTGGTTCTGGTTCGATCTGTAAATCATGCTTGATTCAATTTCCGGCGAGTCCTCCGAGTCAATTTCCTCTTCCACCACCGCCATCACCGTCAACTTCGTCTCCTCCATCGAAAGCTTTAACCAGAGGATTGTTAGCGTTTGCGATTGTTGGATCAGTTGGAGCATTTGCAGGGATCTGTAGTGTGGTTTACTGTTTATGGACTGGAGTTTGCTTGGGGAAGAAGAAAGTTCATAACTCGGTTCAACCAACGATAACTCGCGGCGGCTCTAATAGCCGGTCTAACAGCTCGAATAGCCGGTCGTTAACCATAAGACGTCAAGGATCGAGAATGCTATCGATGAGGAGACAGAGAAGTGGAACATCCTCGATGAAACATGCGGATAAAGCGGAAGAGTTTTCGTTCTCCGAGCTCGCTTCCGCTACCGGAAACTTCTCTTTAGAGAACAAAATCGGTTCGGGGAGCTTTGGTGTTGTTTACAGAGGCAAACTCAATGACGGGAGAGAAGTAGCTATCAAACGTGGGGAAGTAAACGCGAAGATGAAGAAGTTTCAAGAGAAAGAAACCGCGTTTGATTCGGAAATCGCGTTTCTATCGAGGCTTCATCATAAGCATTTGGTGAGACTAGTTGGTTACTGCGAAGAAAGAGAAGAGAAACTTCTCGTTTACGATTACATGAAGAATGGTGCGCTCTACGATCATCTACACGACAAGAAGAACGTCGAAAAACACAGCAGTTTGATCAATTCTTGGAAAATGCGGATCAAAATCGCGTTAGACGCGGCTAGAGGAATCGAGTATCTACACAATTACGCGGTGCCACCGATTATTCATAGAGATATCAAGTCATCTAACATCTTGCTTGACTCGAATTGGGTCGCTAGAGTTTCGGATTTCGGGTTATCGTTAATGGGTCCGGAACTTGGTAAAGATCATAATCCTTATCAACGTCCAACGAAAGCTGCGGGGACGGTTGGATATATCGATCCAGAGTATTACAGTCTTAACGTTTTAACGGACAAGAGCGATGTGTATGGACTCGGAGTGGTGTTGTTAGAATTGCTGACAGGAAAAAGAGCGATATTTAAGAACAATGGTGATGTGGAGGAGGAGGAAGGGAGTGTTCCGGTGCATTTGGTGGATTACTCGGTGCCAGCGATATCGGCTGATGAGTTGGGTACAATTTTGGATCCGAGAGTGGGATCACCTGAGCTAGGGGAAGGAGATGCGGTGGAGCTGGTGGCTTATACGGCGATGCATTGTGTGAATGCGGAAGGGAGAAATAGGCCGACGATGACGGATATAGTAGGGAATTTGGAGAGAGCATTGGATTTGTGTGGGGATAGTCATGGGAGTATCTCTAGTGGCATTTGTTCTATTGTCTCTGATTGAGAGATTAAATTCAAAAAAATTGAGTCTCTTCTCTTTTTATTTTTACATAGGAATTTTTTTTTTGAGGATTTCATTTTTTCTCTTAAAAATTTCGGCTTTCTTTTGGATGGTTTTTTTGTTTCGTTTGTAAATAGTATTAGCGTAGCTGCGTAGGAGAATTCAAATATTCAATAGTCGTGGTCTAACCTTTGGTTGGGAAATGTATAATTTGGACAGCGGAGAGCGAATGATTAAAGTTGGAATTTTTGGTTGTTTTGTATGAAGGAAGATGAGAATTATGGTGTCGTTCTTTTGGTCAAAACGTATTCTTAATTTATTTATGGATAATAATACCTTCGGCGTGGATTTATGTATTATATTATTCTCTACTTTTTTTTGTGGTTCGAATGAAGTATAGATGTAAAATCTAGTCAAACTGCCGTCGTCCATGTGGTTTAATTTTGTTTGATGATATCTTGGAATTTTTGGTGTATCTTCGTCATGAGAAAAAGAAAAGATGATGTAATATAATTTACTATACTTGTCTATAAAAAGTGGGGTCCATTTTTTACACTTGTGCATCCTCATATGTTGACATGTCATCATTGCCAACAAACAAATACGAGTCTATTGACTTTGAAGATTCCAAATCCTGTATTACCGGTCAATACTTTCTGTCTTTGAAGATTGTCCTTCTCTTTATATTTTACGTCATGTTATAGTTTTACTTTGATTAATTTAAACTAAAAATATTGCGAAATGCATATATGGATGTATTTTTCCAAATTATCACACTATTATATATCTTAGTACCAAAAGAAATTAAAAAAAAAAGTAATGTAAAATATACTAAATTACATTTTCACAAAAAAAGTAACAACCATGTTTAAAACTTGTGAACCTTAATATCAGTAACTACAACAGTTGTTTTCACCCTAAACAATAAAATAAAATATTCATATAATGTTTGATTAGAAAATGCAGTTTTTAATATTATCATTTGTGGTATATATTAGAGAAACATTTGATTCTTAGTCTTAGGCTCATCATAGAGTTCAAATTTAAACGCATTCACAGATTGTAGAAGATTCAGATGCAATGAACGACGGAAAGTTTAGTGACTATGCTGATGTAATTAGATTAATACTAGTAGTAAAGGAATATCAGCATGCATAGCACTTTAATGAAAATATTGGTCCCAATAATGAAATAAAACCAGTATTACTATTTTGTTGGATTGGTAATGATATTTTTGTCGTGACAGGTAATTTCAACATCCATTCATTTAATTTGGGATGTGCTTATAAGTTCAAAACTGAATTATGTATGATATAGGATAGGCCATTAGCTAGAGTATGGAACGATTAATAAAAATTTCTTACATGATCGAGCATTAAATTACGTAGAAGATAAGATATGAATATGAAGTGAAAAGAAGAAGATATACATGCATACTTTTATTTTTGGCGGCAACACGGTGGTGGGGCAACCATGGCGGTGACGGTGAGGACGGCCAACAAATAAATGACATTTCATTTTTTTTGGTCAACTTATATATTCATTCAAAAGATCATTTATAACAATATCCAAAAAGATATATAGGATATTTACATTCAAGTGACAGCCTGCAAGGTTTAGATAAGCTTTCTAGCTAGATCCCCTAAACAATCACATTAGCAGGGAGATACTGCTGGAGAATTGAACAATTATCAGAAGAAAAAACATAAACCTATTCAACACAACCAAATAGAACCAAACAAAACTGGGTTCTGTTTCCCTCAGTGCCTCACTGGCAAATTCCTCTGTCTCGCTTCATCATCTCAATATATATCCCTCCACTACACATGCATGCACATATTATATAATATCAATGAATCAAAGATTAATCGACCATGAATAATTTAATAATGCCTTTCTGTGAGCTTGTAGGCAAAATAAATATATATTTCTAATGACATAGGATGTAGTGTTATGTCTGTCCCCATATTAATATCAATTTGAGCTGTGTTATATAAGCTTATGCGCATGCTAATCAATTGAAGACATTTTTTCAAAAGAAAGTATGCTAATATCAAAAACATTGTCAAGACTAGCTAATCTTCAGGGTTAGGATTTGCTCTGCTCTTCCGCTTCTTGTGAAGAGGTTTGGTCCGACGTTTCTTCTGCTTATTGGCAACACTTAGTGATGACCTTTTCCTAGAAGCAGAACAAGTTGGAGAAGTGGTAGCAACTTGTGAGCTTTGGTTATCGAGAGGGCTCCCTCCAGTTGATAGGCTAGTCCAAAGCCAAACTGAACTTGCAGTACGAAGTAGCCTTCCTGATGCGTTTTGAGGGTGCGCTAAGAGAATATTGTTCTCTTTCTTGCTCAACTGGACTAGAGCTGAGACGAAGTCAACGTCTTGTGAGATGTCTTTTGAGATTACCATCAAATTTGTTGGCTCCTCTCGATGGTTTATTCCCCACATATAAACGTCCTTAAACATCATATTAACCTTTTCTTGACTAGTTCCTGAAATATATCAACAAAGGAGATCAGATGAGCACAACATTAACAAGAAAAAGAGGAAGAGAGAGAGTGTTGGATTTTTAGTTAACTAACCTGGGTTTATAAGCTTAATGTTGACGAAGTCAAAGTCTTCTTTGGTTTGGTTCGCAACAGAATAAGCAACGATCCACACCTTACCATTGTAACCCATATTTTTGAGAGCTACTTTGATATTATCATAGATCAAAGCAGGAGTGAGATCATCAGGGATTGGGCAATCATCCAGGTCCCAGAAGACGCCTGTCTCAGGAGAACAAGTTGGAGAAGGGATAGCAACTTTTGAGCTTCCACTTTGGTTATCGATAGGTCTCCCTCCAGTTGATAGACTAGTCCAAAGCCAAACTAGACTTGCAGTTTCAAGTAGCCTTCCTGATGCGTTTCGAGGTTGCGCTAAGAGAATGTTGTTTTCTGTCTTTCTTAAATAGACAAGACTCGAGACGAAGGAATTCGAGATGTCTTTTGTTATTACCATCAAATTTGTTGGTTCATCAGGATGGTATACTCCCCAATTATAAATGTCGACAACAAACATAGGGATTTTATAAGCTCCTGAAAATATTGTAAGTAAATATATTTATATTAACGGAGATATACTAGAACAATATAGCAATAAGTAAAAGAGAGAGAGTGTTAGGGTTTTAAGTGCATGAATGAACTAACCTACGGCTTTAAGCTGGATGTTGGCAGATCCAAACTCTTCATTGCTCTGATTCGCACTAGAATAAGCAAAAATCGAAACCCTACCAGTGTAACCCATATTCTTGAGAGCTAATTTGATATTATCATAGATGGAAGCAGGACTAAGATCATCAGGGATTGGGCATTCATCAAGGTCCCAGAAGACCCCTGTCTCAGCCTCTGCGAGGACAAAATAATACAAATTGGTTTACTATATATGACAGATGAAAAAAAGGAGGAAGACATAGAGACACAACTTACCAGAGAATTTGCTGTTCGAGGAAGACATGGTGAAACAAACAAACGAAAACAGTAAATTAGGTTACATGTGGCTGCTAATAACAAGAGAGTCTTTTTTTAAGGACTAAAAATCGGTTTGATTGCTAAACATATGGTAATAGTTAGGTCTGTTAAAGCCTCAAGCTCAGCCCAAAACCGAGAAGCCCAGGAAGAGCCCAAGTTGCAGTCAAAAGCAATTCAAACGGTAACATTGACGACAAGCTCACATAATTGGCGTCTATATACGTATGTACATGTACTTTTTTAATACGTTCTTGAGATTTGAGAATAATTTTTGTAGACATAAATAGCATATATAAAATTATAAGTTGTTTGATCCACACATAATAGCTCAGCATTACAAAACTATTAAACACCAATAAAGAACATTCTCACAATAACCAAACCCATGAACCGAAATCACAAACTCTGTTTACTTGTATGTACTGGAAAATGCATTTCTTGTAATACTCACACTGTCACACAAACTCCATCCGCACAAGAAGCTTCACGGATCTACACTTCACACCATCCTGGTTACGCAGAGGAACGGCACGTATTCCTTGCCTCAGCTCCCAAACCGGCAAGCAAGTTTGGCCTCCAAAATCGTCTTTCTCCGACATGTCATACTCATGTACCTCAATACGTAGAAGAGCAAGCTCTGGAACTGTTAATGGGAACTCAAAAACCTCATCCCAAGCTGGTATCCAATTATCCTCTAATGTTTTCGTCTTCTTCATTATTGTATCCGCGGGAACTCCAGCGATCCCGACCTGAGAAAAGTTTGAAACGTTGCATCAGTTTCTGCCTCAAAACTACTAAAACCTCCAAGGTTGCAACATTTTTATACCCTTGTATAGAAATCAGGTGGAGAATATCGATCAAAGTGTGTGTGCGGGAAATCGTAGTACCATCCTTCTCCCATGTATATAGTAACCTAAAAGATGTATAAAGTAATCAAAACATTATAAGTTCATGAGTTTTAGAAGGATTCAAATGACAAAAACAGATAATAGATAACTGACCCTTAGTGTTGTTTTTACGGGTAATGTAGCTTCTGGGTCAAATACAGCATCGGATTTTAGCAAAAGATCAGGTTTCTTGATATAGCCACATCCTCCATTGGCTCTAAACATTCCTTGCATTACCCACAATGATCTTCCAAGTCCCTGCACAAGGAAAAGTTCATATCAAGAATTCAATTTGTCATGCATGTATATGTAGCTGTGGAATATGATTTGATGTTCTGTTATAAAGACTGGAGGAGAACTTAAAGATGTAAGAAAATTAAAAGGAAACCTGCATATTGAAAGCCACCATTTGAGCTCCATGGCTCCAAGCAATCAGAGGGTTATAGTTTGATGAAGTAATTCTAGTTCCTTTCGGGTAAACCCGAAGCAAATTCCTCTGAGTAAACCTGCATCATTTACCCCATGATCATAAGAGTTTCTTATGACACTTGGAAACTGAATATATATTCTTGTGAAAACATAGTTTGAATCTCTAGTGCACTGATCTTATTTTTGATGAATAAAAAGAGGATCTTAATTCTTAATACCTCACAATCTGTTTGGCATACTTTTCTGAGGCCTTTTCAAGTTGTTCTTCACTTAAGCTAAGCCGTCTTACTTTATCAGGATCCACCTTCAAACATTCAGTTATTCCGCCTTTCGGTTTCCCGGCCTCAATTGCAATCAAATGCTTATATTCCGGTGGCGCATTCTTCTTAATCTTATCATCACCATCATCATCATCGTCATCATCATCATCTCCATTTGAATCATTCTACAACAAGGAAGAAAGAAAAAACCAACTAAAACACATGAAAACCAATGAAACTAAATGAAGATGATGTGTTTTTACACAAACCTTGTCAACACTTCTGTCCCTTCGAATAAAGCTTGGAACTTCTCTTCCCCAAACTTCTTCATCACCCAAATTCCTACCTTTTTTCACCAAATCATCATCTGTTGCTGCCTTATACTCTTTAGGAGGTTTAGTTGAGATCATAATACGCTTTTTCAAAGACGCGGGCGAAGGGAACTCCTTCAAGCATTCCCCTGAAGGAGGAGTAAACAACATTTCTCCAAATATATCTGTAACCATCTAGAACACAACATCTCTATCATCTTTAAACTGATCAATTACTAAAGCAAGAAATGTTCTCACAGAAATTCTACACACCTCAGCAACTTTAGCTTGGAGTTTAGGAGTAAGATGATCTTCAAGAGTAACAACAACTGGATAATCAGATACATCAAAAGCATGTTCTCTAATAGCTCTTAAACATTTGATCAGCTCCACAGGTGATGTAAGAGTCCTGTATTAATCATAAACTTTGATAAGAACCAAAAAAAAATGGAAACTTTAAGAAAAACAGAGACATTACTAATAATAAATACCTTCCATGAAGAACATCGATGCCATCTTCATCAGAGTTAGGCCAAATATCCAATTCAATAACTCTAACACCTTTTTTCAATGCTTCAATGATAGGCAATTCACTGCAATCACTACTCAGTTGATTACCAGTTAAATACGAATTATGTCCTGTAAATATGAAATAATGTGATAATGGAGCATCCATATCTTGATGCACCTGCCAAAAAATATATTCAAGAATCAATCTCTCTTCAATCTCAATCTAAAATTCAATCTAAAATCGAATTACCTCCTGAGAAGAAAGAGGAGAGTTGGTAACAGCGAAAAGGTATTTGAAGAAAGCATCAAGATGGAGACCATTACGATGAAGAAGAGAAGATGAAGCATTGACGATTTCTTGAGCTTCTTCTCTCGTGGCTTTGTCTTGTTTCTGAACATCGATTAGGAATCTGAGGAGGAGATCGGTAGTCATGAGACCTTTGTCGGAATAATTGTCGAAAAGTGTCTTGATCTCAGGAGGTGCTACGGACACAGTGTGTCGATACCTCCGACGGAAACAGAAACAGACTTTGTATGTTTGCTTCGACATTTAAAAATTACGAACAATGTGTGATTTGATGATTGAAGAAGAAGAAGAAGAAATGTGATCTCTAAATCTGAATTTTAATTTATTGTTCTCTTTGGCGGTTTGATTGAAATAGTGACTTTCCATAAAAGTTGGGATGTATAGAGAAATGAGTTTGCATTGCGTGTTATAATACATTAGTCCACGTGGATTTTTTGTTTAAGTTTATGTCGGCATTAATTGTTTTGACTTCTTTTTAATACTTTTAAATTAATAATTAGATAAGTTCTTTTTCTTTTTTGTTAAAGTATTCGTAGGAATTTATTCAAAGCCTATAGTTTAATGTGAAAAAGATATAAATTTTTTTTATACAGCCTATATTTGAAGAAATTTCTAAAGATTAATAAGAATAATTAATACGGAATCTCTTTATGTTTTTTTTTTTTGACATCCAAATCTCTTTTTGTATAGAAAATAATAATTCGTAAAAAATCACTTAAGTAGTCTTGTTCACGTCGTAGGCACTTGGTGGACATTCGATTGTAAAAAGATGGGCCTAATTCTCGTCGATTGCAACTATATATCTATAAGGCTCAAATTGAAAATATTGAATAGTTTGAGGGCATAAGTTCTAATTCTCGTCGATTTTTTTGTCTAACTTGCAACTATATATCTATAAGGCTCAAATTGAAAATATTGAATAGTTTGAGGGCATAAGTTTACATAAAGTCTCAAATTTGGGGAATATCTTTTTCTGTCGATAAGTTTCGACTACAAAACGTGGTGTGTCGTTTAAGAAAAGGAAAACGGCATAAAGTTTCGTATTCTTGGTGGGTTTAGGATCAATCAATCAATTGATGTTTTTTTTTTTTTTTTTTTTTTTATTTATAAATTGATGTTTATATAAATAAAAAAATACCTTTGTCTTTGTTTTTTGTTCACGTTCGTTTCATACCCCTAAACTGGTCTCGTCATGGATAAGACGAAGGAGAGATACTCCAGGAGCATCCGGGACGATCGTGATGAGAGAGATAGGACTAAGCATCATCATGAGAGGTCTCACGAAGGAAGTAAGAGGAATAATCGAGAGCAAGAGAATGGGTCGGCTAGGGCAGCAAACAAGAAATCTAGGTTTGAAGATGTGGCTAGGTTTGAGATTTGGCCATATAGTTGTTCTATCCATCGGAAACTACTTCTAGTCAAATCGTTGAAAATATTAAGCGATCTCAGGAGTTGGCTCATAAACAGAACAAGGGTTTTGTTCTGCGAGTGGATGCACTTGGAAGAGAAATAGATGAACATGGGAATGTGATTAGTGTCACTAAACCGATCAATCTTAGTACATTGATGGTTAACAACAACAAACACAAGAAAGATGCTTCTCAGAATATTCTTAAACCTCATGAACTTGAAGTACTAGATCCACAAGAGAACCCTTATTTTGATCCAAGGATCGGTATAGATAAAAACAAGATTCTGAGACCTAAAAGTAAGAGTTTCAAGGTGAAGCGAGCGCATCTGAAAAAGGCTAAGGATGATGATACAAATTGATACAAATCCAGTTCCAGATTTGATAGAGTTGTCTGACCGTGTCACAATAGAAGAGCCAATCCCAGTTTTTTTTGAGTGGTGGGATGCAGAGATCCTCACCGATAACAAGTTGTTGTTGGATGCAAATATCCTCATCAATGACACCATTACTGAGAACCATCTGAATATGAAAATACTTAATTATCACATTGAGCATCCATCTTCCATAGAGCCACCTGCAGAGGCAGCTTCTCCACCTCCCCAATTTCTTAAACTGACAAAGAAGAAACAGAAGAAACTGCGAACCCTGAGGCGTGCCGCAAAAGAAAAGAAGAAACAGGAGATGATTAGACAAGGGTTTCTTAAACCACAAAGATCAAAGGTGAAAATGGGCAACCTAATGAAGGTTCTTGCGTCTGAAGCAACCCAAAACCCAACCAAGCTTGAAAAAGAGATCCGCACAGCAGCTGCTGAGCGTGAACAAGCTCATATGGAAAGGAACGTAGCGAGGAAGCTAACTCCTAAAGAGAAACGTGAGAAGAAAGAAAGGAAGGTCTTTGATGATCCAACGACAGTTGAGACGATTGTGTCGGTGTACAAGATCGACAAGAAGCTATCGCATCCCAAAACAAGATTCAAAGTGGAGATGAATGCAAAACAGAACATATTAACAGGGTGTTGTGTGATGATGGATAAAATGAGTGTTGTTGTGGTTGAGGGTAAGAGAAAAGCAATAAAGAGATACGAGAAGCTTATGCTGAAGCGTATAAACTGGGGAAAGGCAGACGAGGAAGAAGATGAAGAAGAAGAAGAGAATGGTGGAAACAAGTGTTGGTTGGTTTGGCAAGGAAGTGTTGAGAAACCAAGTTTTCATAGGTTTCATGTACAAGAGTGCTTGACCAAATCTGCTGCCAAGAAAGTTTTCACAGATGCTGGTGTTGCTCACTACTTGGATCTTGCTCTCAATAACTAAAATCTCTTCCTCTTGCTATAATGTCTCTGGTTCTATGTTCTTCTCTGTTTTTTTTTTTTATAAAGATTATTAAGTTCTTTTGAAGCAGTGATGTGATTACAATAAAATATAATGATTCATTGGAAATTTATTAAGTAGTCTAATTATGGGTCTAACTTGAAAAATATATTATATAAGGTTTATATTGAAAGATTTTGATAATATGAGGGTACATTTGTAAATAGTTCTGCTACTCTGTCTTTGATAGTTTCTGCAGATTCATTGACTCATTTCGACGAAGAGCTCTTTTGGTCGAACATAATCCATAAGAAGCATAATTTGATTCAGAGAAATTCAAAGGATTACGGAGTAATGGCGATTACGGCGACTAGATTGGTCTCTCTGACTCTCTTATGGATTGTCGTCCTCTTCGTCACACTTGCTCTCATTCAGGTTAATTTTGATCCTCTGTTTGCTAGTTTCTCGATCTGGGTCTGCTACATGACTTACGTTAGTGGCTTCAATGTTCAATTTGGCTTCTTAGATCAAATTGACTGATGTTGCGGATCCTAGTGTCAATGAGAAGATTGTTGATGCTAAGCTCAATCAGGTGAGCACAGAACTCATTGCATTGTCTGGTTTATGATGGTGTGGTCAGGTTTTTTCTAATTTGGGTTTTTTGAAAATTTTGAGGTGGGAGAGGATTTAGAAGGAGTAACACACAAAGTTTACTTTGACATTCAGATCAATGGTTCACCAGCAGGTATAAAGTTTCCTCCTTTTTTTCTATTTTACTTTGGAGTTTGAAATTTGTTGTTAGTGATGTAAATAGTTGATTGGAGATGTTTCAAATTCCGTAATTGGTTTTGGTTACTTAATCACATAAGTGGATGTGTTGTGTCAATGAAAAGATTAGTAGTGCTCTTTCCTTTTTCCATATAGAGTTTGGTGATGTAACTACTGTTGGCTTGAAGTCTCGTAAATCTTCTGCAGCTCATGCTAATAGAGTTTATAGTAACAATGTGCATTTTGTCATGTACAGGACGCATTCTTATTGGCCTTTTTGGGAAGATAGTTCCTAAAACTGCAGGTAAAGTTTTAAATTTTGATCGACCAAACCTTCACATTCTCGTGTCTACTTTGTCCCTGAGTTTGTTTCTTCCTTACTGAATCCTCGGTTTCTTTCGCAGAGAACTTTCGAGCACTTTGCACGGGTAGCCAAGTAACCTTTGTTTTCCCTTTAAATCTCCTGGCCTTTAGTTTTTCACTCATTCCTTCTTCTGAGTTCTGAGCCAAGAGACTCTTTTGGTTTGATGTTTATCCTCCCGGTGCAGGAGAGAAAGGAGTTGGAAACATGGGGAAACCTCTTTATTTCAAAGGAAGCAGCTTCCATAGGATCATTCCTGGCTTCATGATTCAGGGTGGAGATTTTACACGAGGCGACGGGCGAGGTGGAGAGTCGATATATGGTGATAAATTTGCAGATGAGAACTTTAAACTCAAACACACTGGGCCAGGTAGGTGCTAAAGCTACCTTTTATGACCAGTAAACTCAATACATACTCAACGAAAGACTTATGGGTTGATTCTTCGAATGAATTTCAGGATATTTATCAATGGCAAACTCGGGACCAGATTCCAATGGTTCACAGTTCTTCATCACAACAGTCACCACGAGTTGGTAAGCAGGCGTGATGGTTTATTTGCTTATCTTCAGTCTTATTTTGATTCTGTTTTTCGACAATGTGATTATGAAATCTTTCTGTTTTGGGAAAGGTTGGACGGACATCACGTTGTGTTTGGGAAGGTATTGTCTGGCATGGAAGTAGTGCGCAAGATCGAAGCGCAGGGACAAGACAGTGGAGTGCCCAAAGGACATGTTATTGTTTTTGCTAGTGGAGAAGTTTCTTTGTAATATCGTTTTTTCTTCATCCGAATGAACAAGAGACCGAGATCCAGAAAAAAAAAAGAAATCATTCAAATACTTTGAAATAACGTTTCTTATATCAGCCAAACTCATAAGTTGTGGTCCTTAATAAGGAGTCAAAGTATAAACACGCATGTTGGGCTAGTTGGCTCTAAGGTTCGGCCCATGTTATTAATACACACTACACAGTGTGTTTAGTACCCAAACAAACTTGCATACACATAGGACCAAATAAAAAGCATACCAATTTCTAGTCCTTTGTTAATTAGACCGACTTGTTGCTGGAACTAATTTTCCGGCGTATCTATTACCGGCGGATATATCTCATTCAATAAGAGCAGCACATCCTTTCGGCAACTCTCAATTATGGGTCCGTATTCATAATCATCGCAAAGACGCCAATATGACATTATGACCTGTTAGAAACAACCAACCGAAACTTATGTTTTTGGGAACAATTATGTTAAAGTAAAAAAAAAAAAAAGGCTGAAGATTCACATGTGGTAAAACTTACGTAGCAATTCAATTGGTTGACCATTTCTATACGGGTGGCACGAGGGATGGTTTCAGCATCGGAGGCATGCAATTTCTCCATTACCTCTGTCACTTCGCTACGGATAAAATAAATATCTATTGGAGGACGTCTTGTAGTGAGCGCCTTCTTCATTTGTACCGCTATGTTCACTACCGACGACCATAAACCTTTCTTCTCCTGTCAACAACATATCATATCAAACCCGACATCATAGAGACATTGCAACAAGTGTTTGACATGATAAAACTTACCGAGACCTCCTCATCAGATTCACGATCAGCATATTTGTTGGAAGAAGTGGAGCTGGAGCTTGATGATGACTTTGGTGGTTCAGCAACGTGGCTAAGCACTAGTGTACCACCACCACTTTCTCCTCCAGAATGTGAGTCGTCGTCAATGTCCTCAAACCGAGAAGCAAATGATGATTTGGTTCCGCTGTTATTAGTTAAAGATGGTGCAGATTCTTCCGGTGTCTGCTCATAGAGACTTTCATTTGGCTGCATTTTACGACCAAAAAGAGAAATCCGATCTTTCAATCTGAACTAAATAATGATCCCAAAAAAAACAACCCTAGACTTACCTTAATAGTCAGCTTCCGAGCACCAAGACCACCAACTTTTCCCATCTTTTTCGCACCAATATGTTTCTTAAACGTACTGCGAATAACTGCATTAGAAGCTTTCGTAGCTTCAAGTTTGACAGAAGAAGTTTCATTAGGAGGTAACTCTTCCTTGACATCAGAAGCATTAGATGCTTCCGGTAGCTGAGAAGTAACAACGAGAGATGAGGAAAATGGAGCAGAATTAGTGTCTTGAGCAACTTCTTTAGCAAGAATCTGCTTATACAAATCAGCAGCCCTTGAAGTGTACTTAGCCTCGGTTTTGCCACTATCGGTCCATCCATGTTCCTTGAAAAACAACTGAGCGCGGTTGTTGCCCCCAAAAATCATTGACCTGAGCTGCTCAGAGCTCCATGAGTCTAAATTCGTTGATCTAGAAACAAACCAGAGAATTACACAAATTTGAACCAATCTAATTTCAAGAAAATTCTGAAACAAAATGCTGATCTTAGATATAATTCGTATTGTTAAGATTTGTGGTGTGTAGAACTTAAAATGTTTTACTTTTACCTGACGAAGCTGATATGAACACCGAGACTCCGATGAGTAGCTGAACAATCCATGCAGAGAAATATCCCGTACGTGATTGATGCCCATGTCGGGTTCTTCGCACTACAATCGAAGCAGACCTAAAAGTCCAAGATACGTAAAAACGAAAATCGACATAAACAATTATGATTCCAATCGAAGAAACTAGTCCCAACAGATCAAGAAACACCGACGAAAATCGATAGGGAAGTCGAACCTTGTTCTCAGATTTTGCTTTGAGTTTTCGGAAAAAAATATCTTTATCAGTAAAACTGTCGGAACCCATCGTCGTCGACGAAATTTCAGGGATTTGTTGAGAGGAAAAAAAAAATACATTTATAGTATTTGTCTTTATTAATTCGAATAAATAAGAGCAGATACTCAATAAATCTCTCAACAGTATAATATTAATATTTTAAGTGTAGTTTAATTAAAAATACTAATTTTAAATTAGAGAATCTCTCAATAATAATTTTAATTATAAAAGTAGGATGTTCTAATATTAACTAAAACATTACTAATTTCATGATATTGAATTAGAACTTAATTCAATATTAAAACTTTCTCATTTTTTCATTATTTTATATTTTTATGAGTGAGAGACTCCCACTAAACTCTCAAGATTTCTATTCTGAAAATCAACTCTCACCCTTTTTTTTAGAAGAAATAAAAAAAAAAAATTACTTTTTATTGTTAGATATGCATGCTAGCCCATAAATTATGCAAATCGAAGATTAATTGTTACGAGAAACTCATGTCATTAAAGTGGACTATAATTTGAACGTTCACATTGTACATAATGCATAAGAATCGATCCGATGTTGCTTTCAAATCTAAATGGGTTTTTGGGTTGTGGTTTCCGCAATTTAGCTCGAGATCAAACTAGTTGATCATAATGGGGTTCGTTGGCCTTGCTTGTTCGAAATCCGTCAATGTATTCGGAAATCCCAACCATCCGATTTACCCTAATGAAATGTTCACTAAGAAGATATTTGGTTACCAATGATTTTCATAATTAATGGAACATCTAACGTTCACTTTACCAAATAGCTTCGAACAACAAGCCCACCATCTCTCTTTGGATTGAAGCTCTGAAGCCATTTCAAGACAAGATTCTATAAATTTGTTATTGTTATGTCTGTTTTGGTATGTCAATGTGTGAATGTTGTATGCATTGGCACATGTTGTTGACGATGTCGAAATAGGATTCATGAGTTGAGAAATGAGGTTTATCAACTACCTCCAAGCATTTTTGAAATGAAAATTGTACAGATTTTTTACATTGATTTTTTTTCTCTTTCCCGTCATAAATATGGTTTGTATGCATGGGTGGATCTAAGAATATCTAAGAGGTGTCATTTGACTAATCTAAAATCAAAAATCTAATTGGTTTTAGTGTTGTTTTAATTAGATTTCGTGAAAAATTAGTAAATATTACTTTTTGACACAACTAAATTTGTAATCTTCAAGCGGTAGCAGACACATTATATTACCATGGGTCAATTGACACCTATAAATTTTTAAAATTTTTAAAAAACGACATAACGATGTTGCCATTGATGGGTTTGTCAACCTTCTCAACTCTCAAGATATTCAAGTTATTTTACCATGATCTTTCGGGTGATGGCGACCATGACAAATGTCCACAAAGTATCTCCAGTGAAGGTGGTGAAGATTTTCGAACATGCTACTGAAGCAGAAGCTGATCAAAGTGATGTAGAGGCTGAAGAAAGTGATGGAGAAGCTGATCAAGATGAAGCAAGGTTTCTTAACTGTCTGTCATTTCTTGGAGAAAATGTTGAATCTTACTGATCTGATCGTGTCTTGCGTTGCATCTTCGTCTGAATCCAAGAAGCTTCGCATACTCCAACAACTTCGGAACACTCCAGCTGTTGTTGCGCCCAATTGCAGTATCCAAGTAGTCTGATAGCCTCTGTTGTTTGTCCAGACTCGGTAATCAAACTTAGGTCTTTATTGCAAACTCTAATTAGCAAAAATCGCTCTTGTTTCCAGGTTGTGTAACCGTTGCATCTCTTTTGAAATTTTCAGAAATTTTTTTTGTAAGACTTAATCTGTGTTTGGCTCTACAACTTAATTCACTGAATTTGTTTTTCCTACAATTTGTCAACTGCGTCTAGATATATCAATCCAAAGGGTTGTTGTTACTAACCATCGAGCTCCACAAGAAGTTGGAGCATAACTCTATCTGAAATCATTTGCTTCTTGTCTTTGCAACAAGAGTCATTAATGATCACGTATTTATTCATTAAAGAAAAAAATCGAAATCAAAACCCTAATTATTTAAACCGGTCTTCCCAACTACGCGTACCGAAACGAATTAAAATCTAGGTCCAAGAATGTACAATTTAAAAGAAATCTAAGAGAGAGACAACTAGACAAGGAAAAAGCCTCAATCAAGCATCATCTCCATCACTAACCAAGTCGTTGCTATCATGAGGACCCGAAATCTTGTATCTGTTAGCAAAAGAAAACAAAAAAGAAACAACATTTGAGATCAAACCTCAAATATATACATTCTTAAACCAAAAGCTGTGAAAATTTGTATTTATGTTGGAACTTGGAAATGTGATTGCTTAAAGAAAATCAAGAAAAGATTCTCACAATTCAAGAACAGATTTTCCTTCCTTGTACTTCTGGCTCTTCTCATGTGCAAACTCCTAAAAACCATAAACACAGAAACAAAGTTTAACTCCATGGTACAAACTCAATCAAAATGTTTGCAACCAAACCAAACTACTAGTTTTGTTGTCTTACGTATTTCCAGCCAACGTTTGATCCACAACCAACACAGAAAATGTCAACTACGGTGTGTAGTCCAGTTATCATCATTCTGTCTTCTTTCACTCCAACCGATACGTTTACACTAAAAGGATCATCAAAAATAAACAAGTCAGGACTAACTATTTATTTTCTAATGGCTCAGATTTATACAATTATAAGGGGTCATGAAATCAGAAAGACTTACACGTTATTGAAGAGATAAGCTCCTCCATGCTTGCATTGAAAAGACTGCACAAGTTTTAAAGTCACTACTATATTAATCACTATGTAATGATTGGATCAGAAAGGGAAGATCAAAATATACAAACTCTGGTTTGACACATGATGATCTCACTCAAGACCAACACTCTGTATATTCAAAAACTAAAATTGACATTAAACAATCACATGGTAAATCCTAAAAGGAATCACTGAAAATTCGAATGAAAACTAAAAGTATATAATCAGATTCGTGACAAAAAAAAAAAGACCAGATCATGGAGATTGAAATGATCAAACCTTAGAGATGATGTCTTGTTCTGTAGAGAGATGGGTCTTACAGAGTTTGCAGATGTAGATGTTCCCCTCCAGATCAACCATAAAAACCCTACCCATCTTTGATTCAAAAAATTCTTCTTAGCCTTACGTGAATCGAATAATCAAAAACAAAATCGTGTCTTTGGTTTATAACGGGAGAAGGAGGAAATTGAGGGGAAAATAGTTGGACTTTTGGAGATTTTTTCGGTAGCGTATAAAAACTGTGAACTTGATTCGGTCTTATTGGATCTTTGGAAGTTGTGTAATTAGCAAGAAACGTGGATAAATAAATATATGATTAAAAAACGGGATTTCTAGTTTGAATCCAACCAAAATTCCAAAAGATATTCTTTCCTTTTTTCACAAATATATTATTTCTAAAAAGTAAATATATACAAAAATATAAAATATTTATTTATGACTGACTTTATCAACAACACTTTTAATAAATCTTACAAAAAAAACACTTTTAAATGAGGAGAAAACAAAATTATATAATAGAAATTTAAATTTAAAGAGAAAAAGATATCTATCTCGATCGTCTAAATTGTTGAAACAATCACACTCACAAACAAAAAGAAACAAGAACAAGAAAATCATCAAAAAAATTTAGAGTTCAGATGAATAAATGCGATCAAATATTCAAATCCTACGTCTTGGTCAAAAAAATTCCAGCAATCCGCTATAGAACGCTACGATATACGTAGAAATCAAGCTCGTAAACAAGACTAAAAACGTCTCGAATACAAGAAGAAGAAGAGACAGAGTATTTACACTCTTTATCTCTAAAATGACAAAGCCCTTACACCCAACAGTGTGTGATCTTCTTTGTGCAAACTTTCCTTCCTGAATAGTCTTTTCACTTATCCTTAACCCCAAAAAAACAGAGAGTTACAATTTCATGGTTTACTCTGAACAAATGTTCAATAGTTTCTTATTATTACATAGTGAGCCAGAAAAGACTTGGAAATATAAAAGTAAGATAACAAAGCGATAAACTAATTTGATAGATTTTTGAAACATTTTTGTGCCCCTTTGTTATATCAACAATCACGACGAAGAATTTTAACTCTCTCCATGCATTATGCATATGTAACAACAGACTCCTCTTAAGTTTAACGTTTATTTTAGCTTAATGTCCATAATTTTTCTAGATTCTGAATTTACAAACGTGTAGTTAAACATATTAATACGAACCAACCTTGCCACAATTGACGATATATATACGAACCTAACATTTTAGAAACGTGGAAATAAAAAGAAGTTAGAATCAGAGGATCTACAATTTTTTGCGGATAAACCCTACGGGCTTCTCGTCAGCCACATGTTTTGATTGGTCTCCTAACCTTTTACAGTTTTGGTCCTCACTAGTTACTCCTCAGGATAGGGTAGGTTAGTCTATTTAAAGTTATCTTTTGTCATTTTCAGCACAAAACATGTGTTTTTGATAGAAATTGATTGTCTCGATGTAAATTCGTTTGGTTCAGTTTTATGGCCCTTGACCCTATATTTCTAATGGACTATATAGATTACAGAGGCCTGGACCAAATTAAATCCTCATAACTATTTGTTCCGTTAAGAGTTGCTGACTTTCATTTATCATCAATGAGTGAACTCTAGAATCCCATTCAGCAAATGGGTTACCATTTATTTTGGTATTCCTAGAGGTTGTGGATTTGTAACTTGTAAGTATATTTTGTTCCGATTAGAGATCAAATTTATGAATGAGTTCGTCGTCAAACGTAGTGTGTCACATTAGAATATGAATCTATATACATTATATACATGCACTTTTAATTTTCTTTAATTAGTTGTGCTTGGATAAAAAGATTATGATAAATAATTGTGTATTTCTCAACTCATGGAGTTTGAATTCATCACAAAAGTAAATGAAGCATTTTTTGTTTTCTTTTTCTTAAGTATAAAAGAAGAAAGACAGAAGTGGAAGAAAGATGCCTTCGGCTTCTTATCTCATTGATGAAAATATGGTTTTATACAAACAAACAAAAAGGACAAAAGTGTAACGGTGGATCATTTATAAGAAGAACTAATATAATGTGCTTCTTTTTTTGTGTGTCTATACCTAAATTTAAAATCTATAATATAGTAACAACTGCCAATTCATTGGAGTTGTCTTTTGTAGTCTCACATGGAAAAGCATAGGTTATATATATTAAGCCCCATTCGTTATCTGTTCCTTCCTCCTTTACAGATTATATCCTTTGGACCTTTCTGTAACCAAAACACACAATAAACAACATTATCATTACAAATATTCTCAAGTTCGTTACCTCCACTATATATGACTCACACTCTTCGATAATGATAGTAATTAAAGCAACTTTAGTATTTAATAATCAAGTTATTCAAATATGCAAGTTGGTTGGTACGTATCATATGGAAATAATAAAAGTAAAAAATGATGAGGTGGATTTTGTTACCTGAAACATGAAGAGACCAAAACCCAGTAGATGTTGCATTGATACGTATATTTATATACATGTAGCTTGTATTGTAAGTATATATATGTACAAGTGACGACGACTGACTTCGAATATGGCTATTTGAGTCTCTCTTGTTGCAGGATTTTTTGGTATCGGGGAAACACATTTTTACAAGCTGAAACCTGCAAATTGGAATATATATTAGTCACACACACTTCAATTAAAATCATGAGCCATGTCTTAGGTGTTAGTGACGTTGTCATGTCTACTTTAATAGTATCTTATAAAACTTAATTTAAAGAAAAAATAAAATAAGAAGATTATTCATGCCACACGGTTCCCACTCGGAAACCATCATTATTCATGCCACACGGTTCCCACTCGGAAACATCCGTTTCACTCTTTCCTTTGGGGAAAATGTGAATTATTATTCTTATTCTTATTATATAAGTAATTAATACTATTTATTCGTCACTATCTAATTAGGTTTGAATCAAAATGTTTTTTTATACATAAGAAAGTGCTAATCGAAATACAATTTCCTCTTTTTTCGGTTGTGAGTGAAAAATCAAACCTTCTCAATTGACTAGTCATTTTCCAACCTACTTGCATACAAACTACAAGAACCCTTGGTACCAAATTTTTTTTGAAAATTAATTCAAGACGTTGACTATATATAATATCTAAAGTCACATGCTATTTCTGACCGAGTCTGATCTGTATTAGTGGTAGAAATACAATAGCTTAGATATAAAAATATATAACTAATCCTAGATTTGAAAAATAAACAATTTTGATACGGCCTATATTTATAATTTTTACTGCTAATAATGCTCTTGTAACGGCTGAAAGTTAATAAAATAAGAAAATTCAAAGCGAACTTACGGATTCGATGTCGATTTTGAAGACTAGGAGCTTTCTTCTCTCTCTACAACTTGTACGGTACGCCACAACGATGTGACCGATGGCTAAGATCCAAGAACATACAAAGAGAGCCATTTCCTCTGTTCGGAAATATCCTCCGATCACTGGCTCTCCGAACACAATCGCTGCCTTAAACGATACGTATATTAATGAAGATATCGAGCATATCATCGTTATTGTCAGATATGGTCCCCTTGATAACTTTGGTCCGTCACAAAGCCCGTAAACGCCTATAGTCAGAAAAATAAAAATCGATATCATAATTCTAATAAAAATTTATTATGAGACCAAAAACAGTACTCTCTGGCTTTCTATTTTTTTATTTAAATTCTATTGAAAATTGAAATCAATCCCCGAAAATCTAGCAGAAATTTAAGGCACATGGAATTTTCTTGTTAAAAATCATAATTTCACCAAAAAAAAAAAAAAAACTTTAACAAGAACAGAGCACTTGACGTAAAAAAAACAAAACAAGAACAGAGTACTTAAAGAGTTTCCATATTTAGAATAACAGAACAAAGTTAAGTTTCCTTAAATAATTTAGTGCGTTACTTAACTAGTTTACTTACATAGTATAATGGCAGATCTAGTGATGGAGATGAGAGGTATATCGATGAGAGAGTATCTGAAATCGTAGTTGCTGAGATAAGAATAAATCGTCGCCGGAAAACTAGGAGGAGAAAGGCGGTTGAGAGAGGAGGAGGAGAGGATTGCGGAGGGGAGGATGGCGTCGGCGACGGCGAGGAAGATCGGAGCAGAGAAGATGATGAAAGAGAGAAACATAGTGAAGAGAACAAAGATCGTTTTGATTCCTCTCCAAAGAGAAGATGAATATCTTCTTGTTTTGCTAATCTCTTCTTTGCTGATCAGACCCATCTTGATTTTTCTTCTTTACTAGGGTTTTTTTGGTTATGTACAGAGGATTTGTGATGTAAGTGTGATTTGGTTTCTGGAGAGAGAAGTTTTTTTGCAGAGACTTATTTTGAGGGTTTTAAAAGGGTCGTAGAAAACAAAAATTTGACGATGCTGACGATAAAGCTGATGTGTAAATTTTTAATAAATAAATATCTATCATTGATAATGACATTTTTTTTTCTGTTGAATTTAAACATTTGAGATATATGATGCTGTTTTGGGCGTCTTTTCAAAGGAATAATTATTCTAGAACATAATATATGATCAGTTTGATTTGGTGCATTCTAGGAAATAATCGACGAGTTTCAAAAATTTTATACATTCTGCATCATTTTAATGTTCTTTATAAGGTATACCAGCTGTATATTTTCCTTTGTTAATCTCATGATTTTCTGATCATCTCTTGTTTTACCGGAAAATTCATCAACATTTGGTTTATCCGTTTGCAAGGTCAGTAATAGACTATTTATTTTTATCTGTACTATACTGTGAACAAAAAAAATTATGAATGATGATTGAAAAGCCATATTTGTCTACAAGAGTTTTTCAAGAGTTTTGGCCGTTGCAACCATTAGACCCTAAATATTTGCTAATTGCTTTCGTACATAGACTCCTTAAATCAAAATTTGTATACATGACAGCAATTAAAATTTTATCTCACATGTGAGAGCTTAATATACCTAATCAACAATCCATGTTAAGCTCTAGTCTCCCTAGAATAACGGTATGACGACCTAAATTGTGTGAAGCACAGTACTCTCTTATTTTATTTTATTTTTGTCAAAGTGAAGCACATACTCTCTCTAAATTACGTTCAAGCACTGTATATGTATTAATCAAATTGAGAACTATGTTCAAAGAACATTGGTATTTAGTTTGGAAAAAAAAAATTAACTGTAGTATTTTGGAGAAAGCAATCGTACTAATAAAATAGTGTTATTTCCAGACATTTTTCTATAAAAATGAGATATGCTTGGTAACAGTATAAATGCGGATACAGAGGAACCGACCGATTTGAGCCATGTGAGCACTGATCGCATATATACCGCTAATGTTTAGTTTTAAAAAAAAAAAAAAATCAAATTTATTATCGATGAATTCAGGACATGTTAATCTATATAAGTTTGTTTGATATGTGTAATCAATAGTCACATAAATTTTTTGGATTATGTCACAGAACATGTTAAGGAGATGCTGATTATTTGAAAATATTGTATGACCATTTAGAGAATTTAATTAGCATCCCATTTTAAACGAGTACAAATAATGAACCATAACTTTAGGGCTGCGGGGTTGACTGATGACTAGTAAGTATTGAAAGAAACTTCTTACCTGTGAACTCACGAGAAGCATGTATGTTGGCCTTTGTGGATCATTAGTCTTACTAAAATGATACTCCCTCCGTATTTTAATAATTGTCGTTTTAGGATTTTATTTTTTTAAAAATTAGATGTCGTTTTCAAATTTCAATGCAAAATTTTTTACTTTTTAATGTTTTATGAAAGTAATAAATTTTGCATAGAAATTTGAAAACGACATCCAATTCAAAAAAATAAAAATTCTAAAACGACAATTATTAAAATACGGAGGGAGTAGTATAAAATATCTGAAATTGAAAAACATAACAGTGATAAACCAAGGCTCGAGGGATCTCAAGTTTCACAATTTTGTACAAACCCATCTGGTGCTTAAAGCTCAACAACCGGTTAATTGGGGAAAGATCTTTATCAGATATTTGATAATATTTTGTCGACATCAGATTTGTGTTTGATAAGGAAAACGAAATGCACAAAAAAAATAATAACTAAAAAAACTGTAATATCTCAGGGGGCAAAGAAAAGTCAGAGAGACACGAGAAACAAAAGGGTAAGGCCAAGTGTGAGCCACCAGAGGCCATCGTCGGCAGAATGATCCGTCCACGTCAGCTTCGTGTCTCAATGAGCGTCGTTTACGTTGTAGGAAGGAACCTTCGTCCATTTCACAAGCTTACGTCAGCAAATCTTTTTCTTTTATTGGATAATTTTGTTTTTCTTTTTAACACTTTTTCTCTATAAATTATATTGTGTTAGTATTTCATTGGTCCACTTGGATTAGTACTATTTAGTACCAATTAGCATGTAGCGTCTATCTGGCCACTTGGCAAGCTATTAGAACAAACTTTTTCGTGATTAACAATTTGTTTTTTTTTCTTAATACTTTATCATTCATCTCGACCTTCTTGGGCGTTTAATATGAAAATGTTACAAAATAGCTTTCAATATTTGGAACCATTGTTGGTATTTCTTACGGCTTACCACGTATTTCATTTCATCATATAGGTTTGCGACATGTATCAGTATTTATCACAAAGATATTAGCCTTTTTGTTATGTATATGTATTCATACACACGAGATGATGACTCAAACCTTTGAGGCAATATTCATCTAGAAAACATCTTTAATATTTTAACGGTTAATTGATATATTTCACGACTCGTGTACAATCATTGTCAATTTATATTGACCTGAACCAAAAGGCAAAAGCTTATGAATCTTTCACTTTCACATATCTCCAACCCATTTATAGCATAACCATAACTACAAACATGATGGACATGAAAATCAATTTTTGAACATTGAAATAAGTTTCTTTTACATGAGATGATTTTGATAAAATTATATTTCTTAAATTAATTATTACTGGTTTAACAACGTAGTAAATCCCCTAATTCATGATTCAACATAAAAGTAATAATGATATATCAACTAATTTATTTCAAAAGACGTGGCTTGTGAATCAAGAAACCTAGATGGTTGTATCAATTTTATCAACGAATGCAGACTCAGCCAAGTCAATGGCACGTGCGAGTCCCGCAGCTTTGTTCTGACACTCACGGTGCTCATCCTCTGGGTCACTATCGGCTACAATGCCTGCACCTGCTTGCAGATAAGCTATCCACTCACGGCGAGGCGTGTCTTTGTCTTTGTATGAGTACATTGTGTCGTAACGAGCCTGTGTTGGGAACACAATGGTCCTAAGAGCCAAAGCTATGTCCATGTCTCCAGTGAATGAGACACTACCGAATCCACCACTGTACGGACCTCTTCTAGTCACCTCTAGCTCATCGATTAACTCCATAGCCTTCACCTGTCACAAGAGAGACTCTTAACGATCAGACACTTAAAAGAGGTAATGATAACTTATGTAATAACTAGCCAGTGATTTAATGTGCCTTTGGAGCTCCGCTAACGGTTCCAACTGGTAAAGCCGCACGAAGCGTGTCCCAGCAAGTCAGATTCTCTTGCAACTCTCCAGTCACCTGTTTACACGATTCAAAGTTTATGAGCGTTTGCGTTTACATTTCGAGTGAAAACACAATGTGTGGAAGTACTTAATTTGATATGAGAAAAGAGTCTTGATTTGTAATGTTTCAAGAAAAATTTGTATTACCGTTGAGCTAATATGCATGACATGAGAATAACGCTCTATATTCATGAGCCTTTCTACTTTCACTGAGCCGTTCTTGGACACCTGCTTTCATAAGGCTCCAGAGAGAGCCAATGAGGATATTAGCCGTTTGTAACGATACTATGTTCAAATTTGATTTATTCTTTGTAAGAGAAAACTATTGGCATAGAAATACACAAGTCATTGCTTAAACCAAGAATAAACCAGATTTGATACTGAGAAACAGACTAACCTTTCCAACATCATTGCGACCCAAGTCAACGAGCATGATGTGTTCTGCGCACTGTTTTTCGTCTTTTAAAAGTGTCTCCTCCAACATTTGATCTTCTTCGAAACTCTTGCCTCGTCTTGCAGTTCCTGCTAGTGGTCTATTCACGATCTTGTTCTGTTTTACAAAATCAAGAAAGTGTTCTTATTAACCCTGTTTTAGTCCCTATTACATTACAAAAAGTTCAGGAAAAGAGATTATGTAAGATGTTTACTTTCTTCACTCGAGTGAGAATTTCAGGACTTGACGCTACTAGAATACAACCTCTTGCCTGGTCGGATAGAGAACATGTATATCAGCAAAACAGAGGAAAGCAAAGTAAATCGTGAAGGAGATAAAACAAGTGATATATGAGAAGCACTCACTTGCAAGTAACACATAGAAGGACTTGGGTTCACAATTCTCAAAGCTCGATAAACTTCAAACGGATGAGCAAAAGTGTGGCGCTCAAATCTTTGACTTAAAACAATCTGAAAGATATCTCCAGCCAGTATGTGTTCTTTGGCCTGAAGTACAGCATTCTTATACGCATCACTTGTCATGCTAGATTTTTCCAAAGGAGAGCCATATTGATTGGTATGTAGGTCCACTGATCCATAAGGTAGCTTGGGGCTGAAACAAAAAGATAACTCAAGTTAGAAACACAAAACTGATCGAAACATAAACAGACACAATGTAGAAAAAGGAACAGTTAACTCACGGATTAATGCATTTGATCCTCGAAACAAGCTCTTCCAAGTGTTTCACACCATTAGCATAAACATCATCAAATGATGAGTTTCCTGATAACCTCACCCAATGAATTATATGGATTTTCTATAGAAATAAAGCAAAATTCGCATTAAGTTATATAGAGTAGCCAATTCTTCTATGAAAAGTTCAAGAGATTTTAACACCTTTTCGACATGATCAAACACAATCACATCATCATAAAGACCAAGATGCATGTCTGGCAAATTCCGGTCATCAACCGGAGCCTTGGAGAAAGGTAGCTTTCGTTTTTCAGCATAGCGGACAGTATCATAAGAAAAGTAACCAACCCATCCACCTGTTGATATAACAAGATCATGTGATTTTGACCTAATTTTCATTCTGATCTCAAACTAAACCAAATTTCGATCTAATTGTCATTATTATGATCTCAAAGTCAAAGTAACCAAACCAAACCAAACTGTGAGCAAATCCTCTCACCACAAAAAACATCAGGAAGATCATCGATCAATTGAGGTTTCCAAGTCTCTGAGATTCTTCTAGGAATCATCATTGGATCTTCAACTTCCTCTGTAGTCTTAGTGCCTTTAACATGATCCATGACTGTAACTTTGTTCTCCTTAGCCACAATTTCCATTTTCGGGTGCGCTCCAACCACACTATATCTTCCCTACAGGATTATATTACACACCAGTTTGATTTGAGAGAGATTGAGCAAACAAACAACAAGATTGAGAGAGTTCTTACAACAGTGGAAGAGTGATGTCCTGGCTCAACAGATTCGAAAAGGAAACTTGGAGCCTCTCGATCATCTTCTTTGACAAGACAACGGTAAGCGAGAACAGGAGTGAGATGGTCGGAGAAAATGGTGTGACGAAGAGGAACAAGATTCTCCTTCTTCATCGCTTCACTTGCTGCAAGAAAATCAAGAAACCAGTTCTTAAAAAAATGTAACCTGTTTCAATGATCTCTCTAAACTTAACGAGCAGCATATCGAAAAGAAGTGTAAAGATTTGCGAGGATTTACATAGAGAGGGACATGACAAGATAGAACCGCATTTGATAGATAAGGAACTTGAGGAGGAGTATCTTTTTGAAATTCCGGTGACTAGTGACGGTGGGGAGAGGCGGTGGCTGGACGGAGAGAGACGGACACGGATGCCGGGGGATTGTATCACTCCGAGGGATTGCATGGTGACGAGAATGGAGAATTTTCGATTAGTTTTGCCGGAGAGTTTTGATTCAGTCGTCGTTGAGAGGGAAGATATGGGAGAGACTTTTGTATTTTCCAAAACTACAATTCTTATTTCTATCCCCGATTTTCTTATTTTGTCATTTGGGCTTATAAATGATTTTGACCAGCATTGTATTAAAAAAAATTTCCTCCAAAATTGAGTGTTTTGACATTTTTTTTATGAAAAGTAAAAAATCAAAAAATTGATTTTGTCCATTTCTATAATTTTCTCTTTTTCATCAGTTTGATGGATGAATACTATATTTTCAAAGGCATTAGTACTGTATTCTACTTTTTAAGACCCTTAAAAAGCTAAGAAAACAATAGAAATACAAAGAATTTTCCATGGCATTAGTTGTAAGTATAGTTAGTTAGAAAAACCTCTCAATGTGTATAGTATGTACTATGTATCTCATAACTATGGTCGATCAAATTGTGACGTGTCATGTGATCAGTTAAGGATCATTATCTATATACTTTTAGACAATTTTCTTTCACAATCAATTATAAGAAATGCATCTGTTTAGATTCTTGCTATAAATATATATATTTTTCTTTCTTCTTTGTTGGATTCTTGCTATTTAAATAAAATGCCTGGAAAAAAAAGATTCTTTCAATTTTCTACAAAATTGACATTAGTAAGAAGTTTTTTTGATAAAGGACATTAGGAGGAAGTTCTATGAAAATCAATGTTGTTGACAATACGAGACGAGGTTTGTCTCCCGTGTCAATAAAACCTGACTTTGTTGGTGATATTATTTGTAAATGATATTTAAAAAAATGTTTATGGGCTTGAGTATCCTACAAAGCCTTTTAACAAAATAACAAGGGATCTTGACGTATCCCACATCGGAAAGCGAAGAGAATTTGGTAGTGAAAGTTTGAGTATAAATAGACTTCACTCTCACTCGATGAAAATTACGCAGCCATGTGGTGAGCACAAAGCGAACTATTCTTTCGCCTTTTACTAAAGAATACCGTGTGCTCTCCACGCTAAGTGGCATACGCCTATTTTTGGAGGGTTCTCGCTTCACAGTGAGACCCAACATTTACTCTAGTCTGAATATTTATTTATGTGTGGCTATCAGATTTGAAAAGGAAGCTCGTAGCCTCTTGTTCATATTCTTTGACAAGACAACGGTAAGCGAGAACAGGAGTGAGATGGTCGGAGAAAATGGTCTTACAATTTATTATTTTGTAATTTGGGCTGTTATAATTTATAAAATCATTTGACCAGCATTGTGTTTAAACCTTTTTTTCAAAATTAAGTCTGTTGACACTTCTTTTTTTTTCTAATGCAAATTATAACTCAACAAAAAAGTTGAATTTTGTTCATTTCTATAATTTTCTCTTTATCATCAATTTGATGAATACTATATTTTCAATGCCATTAGTGTAATTTTCTTTTAAGACTCTTATGTAACTTAGAAATACAAAAAAACTCCAATGGCGTTACTTGTAAATATAATCAAACTAAATGTTACGTTAAATAATTATAATCTCTTTTAATATATAGAGTTTATCATTTAAAACTAGAATGTACTATATATCTCATAACTATTGTTGATCAAATTGTGATGTGTCATGTGATCATCAGTTAAGTATCATAATCTATATTAAATAATTATCATTCACAATCAATTAAAAGAAATGCATCTGTTTAGGTTCTTTGCTATACCTATTCATATAATTTGTTTTTCTTTCTTATTTGTTGGATTCTTGCTATTTAAATGTCTGGAAAAAAGATTCTTTCTATTTTCTAAAAAATTGACATTAGTAAGAAGTTCTATGAAAAAATCATTGTTGACCACATGGAAATTTATCTAATGATTTAGTATTTTTTCGTTTTCCCTTTTAAGAGAAGGTAAAAGATCAAAAAATAAAATAAGTAAAAAAAAAAGAAAGAAAAGGAGGTATTTTCTTTGCTTTTTAAATTTATTTTAAATTTCCTCATATATACACACACTTGGAGAATAAGCAAAACCCCTAGCATTCTGCAAAAGAGAGTGTAGTAGGAGAAATGAAGAAGAAGAAAGGAAATGGATCTAAACCTTCCTTAAGCTGTTTGATGTCTTCTATATACGATTCGCTCCACGAGTTGCCTCAACTCGATCACATCGATTCTGAGAAGTAAGTCGAATTGAACATTTGTGTTGTTGTTTCTCCATTTCTCAACCCCACCCGCTGAATCTTTTTTCGCAGTTGATGGAGATGTCAGTATCACAGGGCTTATAGCGATCGTTGCGTCATTTCAGTCGCTAGAGCTTCAGTTACAAGCTATGAAAGACTTATTGCGTCAAAGGAAAGAAGCTATTCCCAAGGGCAAGATCTCTTCGTTTTTCTATCTCCCTACTCTGTTGGAAATTAAGTTGTACAAACATGAAGTTCACGCTATTCAAGGACCAATTTCGGTAAGATTTGTTATTCGAATTAGGGTTTATAAGTCTGGTTTTGGTAGAAACTGATTTCATGTTATGTTGCATTTGATTGTAGTATTTTTCTGAGGGTTACACTAACATGGCAAGGACGTTGTATCCAGAGTTGTTTTCAGATGATACAAATACATGGTTCAATATATTTACAAAAGCTCTTTTGAGATCATATCATCTGTTTTTTTGTTAATTCCACTATGATTAGTGTGTTTTTTTTGTTAATTCCACTATGAATAGTGTGTTTTGTTTCTTTCTTCTTGTGTTCCAGTTTGATCCAAGAAGATGCCAACAACGGAATTAGTCTTGAGGTGGTATTGTTATTGTTTTGAACTTTTGATGTATATTGGTTTTGGTTTCTGAACTTTTTTTTGTGTAATGCCTTAGCATGTTTTGTGTGATTTCAGGCGGTGGTTCTCTCCTCAAGCCCAACCGAGGAGATACTACAGAACAACCAACTTCCAAATGAACCGGTAAAGAGCCTTCTCTGAATCTTTGCATCCATAGTGTTGTTTGAGATTGTATATATGTTATGATCAGATTGTTTATCATGGTTTCTGAGTGATATGACTTTAGCTCATCATCTCCTACTTGTTCCCTTTCCTCATGAATTGATTCTATCTAATTGGTAATTACTTTGCCTCTGCGGTTTTGCTCTTTTTGATACTTGTACAAGTAACTCCACCTAGAAAAAGATGGTTGAAATTTCTCCTCAGCGTAAAGTCATATATTCCACAGGCTTGAGTGTTACCAAACAGGCATGATTTGCTTACAAAGATTTGGTGAACAACATTGATATGCAGGAACCGTTGAGGCGTGAAAGCAAGACAGACAGCAATTGGTTTGGTAACAGAAGAATGGAAGATTGATAGGTTCGTGCATGAAAGGAAAGGATAGAATCTAAGGAGCTGGGTTTAGGGTTGTTTTTCTAATAAGTATCTAATTCCACAGACTGTAGTTGCAATTATAAGCAGTGTCTCAACTTTTTGGCCCTCTTCTCGTGTCAAAGAGTAATAGTGTTAGTGTATAAGTGGTAACTATTATATAGCAATATTGATACTATATCACATGGAAAATTGATCATGACATACTCACTTTGAATAGATATCTTATTATGATATCTAGGTTTTGGCTTACATTGTGGTTCTCTCTCCAGTATTTTTAGCTACGATATAACATTATACAGTCCTTCAGTTAAAACGGGCCCGTATCAACAAAACCTGACTCTGTTGGTCAAATGTTTAATATGATATAAAAGAGAATGGTAATGGGCTTAAGTATCCCACAAAGCCTTTTAACAAGGAATTTCACGTGTCCCACATCGGAAAGTTTAGAGAGTTTGTAGTTGAAACTGTTATATAAATAGACTTCACTCTCACATGATAAAAACCACGCAGCCATGTGGTGAGCACAAAGCGAACTATTCTTTCGCCTTTTACTAAAGAATACCGTGTGCTCTCCACGCTAAGTGGCATACGCCTATTTTTGGAGGGCTCTCACTTAACCGTGAGACCCAACATCTACCCCCTTGTTCTAAAAATCCCCGCCTAGGCCCGATTACTCCCCGCTTAATCGCTAGGCCCACCCTATCCGCCTCGATTAATGACTAATCCTCTAAAAAATCAGTTACCCGATTACTCTCCGTCTAATCCGATTACTTCCCGCCTAATCCGATTACTTCCCGCCTAATTTTACATATCTCGAGATTGCAAGTATAAAAAACTTTTTATTTTTGTTATTGAATCATTTAAATTGGCAGTTTGTGATGTTTTACAATAACTTATGTTCAAATTTTAATAAAAAACATAAATTTGTAATAAAAATCATAAAAATTTATCTCAAAAATACAGTTTTATGTGTTTACTGCAATTTTGAAAACAATATTTGATTAATATGTTTTAAAAATATTAAAATAATCCTAAAACTAATCCCCGATTAATCCCCGATTTTAATCCGATTTTCCGATTAATCGCTAGGCCCATACCTAACGCCCGACTAGCGCCTAGCGATTTTTCAAACAAGGATCTACCCTAGTCTGAATTTTTATCATTCTTTACAAACTATAATCGAGTTGAATTAATCCTGCAAGGTCAATTGGAGTTATTCGAGAGCCAGTCACAAAGTTATGGATTTGTCCTCGTTTACATAAGCTTAATTTTAAATCGACTGGTAAGTTTGGTTTTGTATTTAGTTTCCGGTTAGGATCGGTTTAGGTGTCAAGTGGAACGAACATCCACTTGGTCCTAGTGTAGTTGGTACAGTTGTTGGTGTGTTCTATTTTAAGAATTTCTCCGGCGACTATGAACCTTTTCATCGTCGTTTCCGCCGCCGTCTTTCTCCTTATCTCCGTCGCGTATCTTCCTTTGCTCAACGACTTATGTAACTACGCCTTCCATTGTTGTCACCCTTTTTCTCAAATCAGATTTCTCTGACTGTTTTTGAGTCTTTTGAGTTGATACTGAAAGTCGTCGATACGATTGATGCTCGCAGATTGGTCAACTCTCAAGTCTCTTACACCACCGGCTGCTATCGTGGCTGATTTGCTAGTGAGAAATGGAACAATCTTCACCAGCGATACTTCTTTACCATTTGCAGATTCCATGGCGATTCGTAATGGCAGGATTCTTAAAGTTGGAAGCTTTGCCACTCTCAAGGTCCTTCACTTCTTTTATTCACTCTTTCAATGTGATTGATGCTGTATTAATGTTCAAGTGTTTAATGCTGCTTTTATACTACTTCACTGGCATGAATGAAGCTGAAAGTTTGATACTTTTTTGTTCTCATGTAATTTATTATTTCGATGAAAACAGGATTTTATAGGAGATGGAACAATGGAGGTGAATCTGGAGGGGAAGATTGTAGTGCCTGGATTTATTGATTCACATGTTCATTTGATATCTGGGGGATTACAGGTGATAATACAAACTTATTTCTGTGCTTTGCCTTCTTGTAATGATATGTATATTGTCAAGTGAACCTGAGAGTAGATGATCACATGCCATTGTTTTATAAGATTTAGACATGAACAGTATACTTTACTCTCGTTTACCTTATCTCTTGTAATTTTTTTTTCGCTTGAGCATAGATGGCCCAAGTTGGACTCCGTGGAGTGAGTCAAAAAGATGAGTTTTGTAAAATGGTGAAGGACGCAGTGCAGAGTAATTAATATTTCATTATTATATTGTGGTTACATTTTCTTTATTGGTGTTTGTTTTTAGTTCTGATATACAGTGTACAGTGAACATTTTTTGTTTAAGTTGGTGGGGTTCTTAGTAGTGGGAGAATATCTAATCTACTATGCTGCTTTTATGTGTGAATAATACATTTTTTCAGTTGCAAAAGAAGGCTCATGGATTTTGGGAGGTGGCTGGAACAATGATTTCTGGGGAGGAGAATTGCCCTCTGCATCATGGATTGATGAAATCTCTCCTCATAATCCTGTAAGAAATCTGCATTTTGTGTTTGTCAATAGTCAACAATCAGCATTAACGGTTTATTTATTTCTCTTCATGTAGGTTTGGTTGATTAGGATGGATGGTCATATGGCATTGGCAAATTCCCTTGCGCTTAGGATTGCTGGTGTTACGAGTTTAACGGAAGATCCAGTTGGTGGAACGATAATGAGGATGCCTAGTGGCGGTAATGCTTGTTTCAAGTAATTTAGCACTTGGCCTATTTATGCTTCCAATTCTTGGGATTGCAGAGAAACTTTCTGTGTTGTGAGTGTATACTAATATCAGCTGGTACTTGCTTTTATGATTGTATCAATTCAGAGCCGACAGGTCTTTTGATCGATGCTGCTATGGAGCTTGTCACTCCCTGGGTTAAAGAAATCTCAGTGGATGAACGTAGGGAAGCACTATTTAGAGCTAGCAAATATGCTTTGACTAGAGGCGTGACAACTGTTGTTGATCTTGGAAGATACTTTCCTGGCACTACAGATGAGCTCTCCTGGAAAGACTTTCAAGGTGCAATAAATTTCTTCTATTGACCCTGAGTGGGATGAGTTGTCATATTCAGACTTGCATGCTGCTAAAATAGAGAGAATTTGATGACTATAGAATAGAATTTGTTTTAGTCCAATTTTTTTTGAGTTGAATTCTCCTTTTTATGGTACAGATGTCTATCTATATGCTGACTCCTCGAAGAAGATGATGATACGGACTTGCTTGTTTTTTCCCATCACAACATGGTCACGTTTATCGGTATGATTTCTTGAGAAGCAACTCTTGTTTTCTGATAAATAGAACGAGTATTCGTATAAGCAATTTTCTTTTTCTTTAGCACGAGAAACTAAAGTGTATATTACAGCATTCTTCAACTTCATGTTTTGCAATTTACATATATTTCTCATTTCTCATATATCATCAGTGAAATCTTGTCCTTTCCTGATTTTCAAATTCTCTTTCGATGTTTAATGCTTTATATCATCGTGTGCTATGATGGCTATTAGAAGCATTCACCCATTCTCTTTTCACCGTTGCTTGCACAGTTATGCTTGTTCTGCTTTTTTACTTGGAATTCTATATGTGCTCATCTTCCTTGACTTCATACTTTCAGGATCTTAAGCTTCAGAAGGGATCTGTACTGAGTGAATGGTTGTATCTCGGTGGCGTCAAAGCATTTATTGATGGCTCTCTAGGTTCCAACAGTGCACTTTTTTACGAGGTGAAGAGTACTATATTATCCCTAATCCATCTGCTATATATTCTAAAAATATTGTTCATATTGATATAGCAATTCATTATAAATGTTATTTTATCCTTAAGCAGCACTGAAAAAACCCACGGTTTATATCATTCTGCAGGAATATATTGATTCACCTGATAATTATGGGTTAGAAGTGATGGATCCTGAGAAACTTTCCAACTTCACAATGGCAGCAGACAAATCAGGGCTTCAGGTGTTTCCCTGTTTACTTGTGTCCATTGCTTGCTCATCGTCCTCTTTAGTTTTGCTTATTATTTTGTTCTGCTGTGATCAAGGTTGCTATCCATGCTATAGGCGACAAAGCAAATGACTTGATCCTTGACATGTACGAATCCGTTGCTGTAGCCAATGGAGACCGGGATAGAAGATTTAGGGTGAAGTTTGCTATTATAAACCTTCTCTTCTGAGCTATTTGCTAGCTCGTCTGCTTCTTCTGTCTGTACTTAATATCTCTGAACTCCTGGTTACAGATAGAGCATGCCCAACATTTGGCCCCAGGATCAGCCAACCGGTTTGGTCAACTTCATATTGTAGCTTCAGTTCAGGTTAGTTACTTCCCAGCATTGAGCATCTGGGCTTAAAACTCACTTTCTTGATCTAACATATCTAATGCTCGTGAACAGCCAGATCATTTGCTTGATGATGCTGATTCTGTTGCTAAGAAGCTCGGTTCTGAGAGAGCCGAAAAGGAGTCTTATCTATTCCAATCTCTCTTAAACGGCAATGCACTCTTGGCACTTGGTTCAGACTGGCCTGTACGTTTTCCATAATCACTACACATATAGAATGTTTGTACATGTATTCACAAGATACGAATTCAAGCTTTACTTCTTCCTTTGTCCATCCAGGTTGCAGACATTAACCCGTTGCATAGTATCAGAACCGCGGTTAAAAGAATACCTCCCAAGTGGGATCACGCTTGGATTCCATCTGAACGCATCTCTTTTACCGATGCGCTGATTGCGTAATAAAGCCTCTTCTCTAAGTCTTTTTCCAACATCTTCTCAAGCATTCATCGTTTTCTTTGTTTGGAAATCGCAGGCAGACGATATCAGCGGCACGAGCAGCGTTTCTGGATCATCACTTGGGGTCTTTATCTCCAGGAAAGCTCGCAGATTTTGTCATACTGTCAACAAATTCTTGGGATGAGTTCTCAAAAGACGTCTCTGCTTCAGTTTTAGCAACCTATGTAGGAGGAAAACAATTGTATCCATGAATCATTATGATAAGTCATGAAGTCTTATCTAATTAATTATTTTGTTCCCGACAATGGAAAGTCTTTATTTAATTAAGAAACAAACTTTATACACTAGAATTATCTGATCATTTATTTGTTTGTCTATGTGTTATCAATGTACATATGTATGACATCTGGCTTATCAACTACATAATCAAAATACAAAATCGTTTTCAAGTCATATTCAAAAAAATGTTTGGTGTGTCGGCCAATGAAATAAAAAAAGGTTGTTGTTTGGTATTTATTAATTTGCAAAAAGGTAACGTTGGTGAGTGGCCCAAGCACGAGCCAATGTTCATGGACGCGGAGAGAAAGCCAGTGAGCTGTACTAACTACGTGGCTATCTGGTTCCAGCCGTCGACTTGGTTTGGTTCCACCACGTGGCTCTTCTAAATACTTAGGACAGCTCCATGTGTTGCTTTTTAACGCGCGATATCCCCTGATTGGTCGGTCATAGTTAAAAAGTCATCATTTTTGTCCACGTCACGTAAATTCTGATGATTTTTTTTTTTCACGCGAGAAAACTGAGAAGTGAGAACCTACGCGTACTCAAATATCCAAATTCGGATGAAGATTATACAACTATTTTCCACTAGAATTTATTAAAAAATAACCAAAATATATATCATTTTTTACAATGTAATAGAGCATAATAATTTGAGTTAAATGTGACTTCTAGTTCTAGTCATATGCTAACATAGTGTATAAACTCAAATGTTTTGAAAATATAGAGTGTCTCTTATGTAAATAAATAGTATGAAATGCTATAAGAATTTGGATAATCACCGGACCGTTATACTTTTGTAGATTAATGTTTGGAGAGAGACACAAGTATTCGAGCAAAGAGACAGAAATTAAAGTTGGAAGGAGGTCATCGTAAACGTGAAAGGAAGATAAGATATGTCCTTATGAGTAGCTACAAACACATCCATCTCATTCCCCTTTAGCTGAACTCACACAATGCACATGATGATACAAAATACACCTATTCAAGATTATTTTATTCATATTCATTTTTAAAAAACATTCCCGTGAAATTATAAGAACATATATAAGTTTATCTTCTTTTAATTCCCGTGAAACCAAGCCTTCAAAATATTAGGTTCCCGTGAATTTATTATCCTCTTGTAGATCCCGTGAAATTAGAACACTGTTCCATATACTATGTATAATGTTTTGTGACATTTTTAGGTAACCAAAATCCACACACAAAACATGATAATGTGAAGAGTATACGTCATGAGACGAATGTGTGACATCGACTTATGTGTGTGAATGTGCACGTGTATAGAATGGAATTGTTGAACTGTCGACTATACAACTAATCTTTGGTAATTAGTATATTGTCTCGACGACAGGTGTGGCTGATTGTTTCATATAATGATCTCCAATTTCGATATTGGATTGTTCAATGAATACGTTCCCATTTGTTTCTGTTACCACAACTTTTGTCGATGACTTATGTTCAGTGTTCACAAATCACAACAGCTAAGCAATGATTTCCTTTTTTTTTGTCTTTCTTCATTGGACGTTCAATTCAAAGTCAAGGATTAAGGAACATTAAATACTCCACAAACAAAATTTAATCTGTAGTTTAATAATTGTTTTAATTAATTTCTATTGTCAGTAATTGTTTTACTGTGATACTTTTAGTGCCTTCAAATATGATTAGAGAGACAACGAACTGAATAATTTTTGTTTTGCCTTTACTTTTCTGAAACTCCAACCAACTTCACCATTTTTTAAAAACTACTCCTCTTATTGAAGTAATCATAGTCGAGATCTAACTTCTAAGGTGTCGACTCCACTACTATAAACTACGATCAAATTAAAGTAAATGGTTCGAGAGTCAATGCAAGTATATGGTTCGTGACTCGTGACAATAAGATCTAGCTGGGAAAAATATATAATACAAAAACCTAGATATAATTAGTTGGGATAGACCAGTTTTTAGGTTACTAAAACCAAAGATGTTAGAAACATATTTAAAAATTAAAAGAATTTGATAAAGTTTAGTTGGATAGGATTTGAAAATTTCTCTATTAACTAGGTAAACAAATTTGGTATAGCTGCATATACTTTTCAAAGATCTGTCTCTAAGTAGATACGATAAGAACAAATAACTTTCAAAGATTGAAGGAGATAGGGGTTAAAATTAATGTTTTTAATAAAACCAAATCAATAGTACTACTATTTTCCTTGTAAGTAATAAATATTATGACACCGACAAAACTAAAGATTTTATAATTGGAACGTAACATTCGGAATGTTGAAGTTTACACAAACGGGATTAAATACGAAAAAAGGATGACCAAAGTCAAAGGCTAGGCTATGACCCGTTCCACAAAGTCCTAAACGCCATCGAAACGGATTCCGACCAAACCTCATGTCATGTGCCATCTTATTTTATTGCTTAATTATATTCCTATATTTAAGGCTTGACGAAATATCCATAGTATCCAATTAAATTCATTATCTGTTCTAATCCGTATTTAAAACAAAAATCTAATTCATAAATATATGAAATAAAACAAATATTACAATACAATATGAGCAGGCTAAAATAACTATATTTAAAACAGGATATCCGATTTGTTCTAGAAATATATGTATTTATACAATGGTTATTATAAAATCATTTACTAAAATAAATAATAAAACTATAAAATTTTAATAAATTAAGAACGTAAGTTTCAAATTGAAATTCTAGATAAAAAAATTCTTATTTAACTTAACACTTATAATATATTTTTCAATAATTCTTATCCAATGCAAGTAAAAAAGATGCAGTATCCATTATCTTTAATTCTTTATAGTTCGATCGAATAAGGAGAAAAGAACATTTCTATATGAAGAAAGATTTTGAATAATTCCCAACCATTAAGGAAAACGTATCGTATAACTGATTGTATTCGTGTATACACAAAAGAGTTTTCATTACTCCAAAATAATAGAAAGATAAAATAAAACCGACAAAAAAAGGAAAAAAGACAGGAAACAGCCGTTGTTGTACGTTGACTTTAAAAACTATGATCTTTGTTTATGTCTTATTTTTCCACATAATGGCTCGTCTTTCTTCATTTTCCTATCCGTTTCCTTCACCTCTCCTTATGTCTTATCTATATATATACAAACATTTAGGTATCTTCTCATTCTTAAATATATTCACAAACAAAAAACATTATTTCAAAAAAAAAATGGCTGATTTGGATTTACAGAGGAATATGGTATCTCCCAAGCTACACGTCACCATTCCGGAGCCGTGTTGTAACATCTCCTCCGTCTCCTCTCCAATATCCTCCTCTTCTTCAGCCGCTTGCTCTGCTTACGAGCTATACCTCCGTTTGCCAGAACTTAGAAACCACTGGTCCTCTCTCGATTTCCCTCACTGGATCTCCGAGCCGGTTCTCAAACCAGCTCTTCAAGCTCTTGAGATCACTTTCCGTTTAATCCTCACCGTTGCTTCTGACACACGTCCGTACATCAACCGCCGCGAATGGATCCGACGGTTGGATTCGATCTCCACGAGTCAGATCAAAATCGTGGCGGCTATCTGCGAGGATGAAGACAACGACGACGAGAACGTATCGGCGGCTCCGGTCAGCAATGGCTGGAGCTCGTTGAGCTTGCTTTCCGAGATCGCCACGTGTCCTATATCGGAGAGTATTGGACAGAAGATTTTGTCTACGATCGAGAATGAGATGCGTTGGTGTAAGTATACGCTCGGTTTAGGAGAACCAAACCTCGCCGGAAAACCGTATCTTCAATACGACGCCGTTTGTCGCCCGGAGGAGCTACACAGCCTTAAGAACAATCCTTACTCTGATCACATCGAGAACCAGGAGAATCAAATGCTCTACACTATTCATCAGATTCTTGAATCGTGGATTTATGTTTCTGTGAATCTTTTGTATCGGATCGAATCGAGAATCGAAGAGGGAAAATTCGAAAAAGCTTCTTCCGACGTGTACTTGCTGGAGAGAATCTGGAAGCTTTTAACGGAGATAGAAGATTTACACATTCTGATGGATCCTGAAGATTTCTTGAAGGTGAAGAAACAGTTACAAATAAAATCAACTTCTCCAAACGACGCGTTTTGTTTCAGGTCCAAGGGTTTAGTAGAGATGGCCAAGCTGTCGAAAGAGCTGAGACAGAAAGTGCCAGCTGTACTTGAGGTGGAGGTGGATCCCACAGGAGGTCCGAGGTTGCAAGAGGCAGCGATGAAGCTTTACTCAAGGAAGACAGAATACGAGAAGATACATTTGCTTCAGGGAATGCAGGCAGTCGAGTCGGCAGCGAAGAGATTCTTCTTCGGGTACCAGAAGTTGGTTGCGGCCATGATTGGGAATGCGGAGGCGAATGCGAATAGAACCGTGGCGAGTCACGAGTCGTATGATTCTCTAACTCAGGTGTTCATGGAGCCGCCGTATTACCCGAGCCTAGATGCCGCAAAGACATTTCTGGGAGAGTTCTGGAGCCAATTGTGATGCAATGGAAGATATTGACACAGCAACTTAACAAACACTATCAATCTTACACTACTTATCAATTCAAAAAAAAAAAGACACTACTTTAAATTTTTGGAAGCATGTAACGATCAGTGTATGAATATATAACTCATTCTTTTTTAGCACAAAACAATATTTTCACAACATGAGATGTTACAAGTTACAACAATGTTACAAAAGGTACAATGAGGGTACATCATGCACTAGGCTACTACTACTATATCTCTTTGTAAGCTTCTACGAGAAACCCCATAAGCCACCAATTACAAACTCTCGCTCTCTATCTTCTCTCTTACCGTAAAAGTAAGTCAGTTCTCTGTTTTAACACTTACTTGGCGCCAAACCTGTCAATAGCTAGAACGTGAAGAGTAGTAGTAACCAGTGGAAGAGAAAAGCGGAAATGTACCGCCATGTGAAAGCAGCAATCACCAGAACCATAAATTGCGGCAATCCACGGCTTTCATGGAAGTGTATACAAGTGGCATTTTCCCAAATTCTTGCACAAACCGATTAACGCAGTGCGTTCTTTTCTCTGTATGCCCTCCTATGCTACTAATTCCAGTTGAACCGATTTCATATATTTTACCTACAAAAACAGGCCAAAAGAGGAGAGGATGTGTTCTTCATTATCAAAGGTTATCAGAATCATATGGCAATACATGGTTCTCAATTTGCCTGCGATTTAGAATTACCTTTAACCCATATAGCAGGAGCGTTTGTAGCATTTGCGACGAGGAATGACATTGCAATATCTTCACAGTTCCTGTTATTAGATGAATCTCACACTTAGGTGGGGTACATTTTAATCACATTCAGGAATACAAAAAAACACAGAGAGATAATGAAAGTATAAGGAACCTGTTCTTGGTTGTGAATTCCCTGATTGATGCCGGCATGCTATTTGTGTAAAGGCTGAGGTACTTTTTGTGGAAGAAGGCTGCCTTTGAGAGTACCATGCTATATGTACCACTCCACCAAACAGACCACCATCCGCTGTAGGTGTAGTAATTGGCTTTATCATTCTGCAGAAAATTGAAGTCAACTTTCTGATTCCACATAATCACATATTACGCTAAGTTTCTTAGACAACAAAAGAAGATGAATAACCAATTTAAACACCATGTACAGAGTTTTTTTTCAATATTAATACTAGCTGTTAGACCATCTAGATGATTAATTTCCTTAAATAATGGTAGAGACCTATGATTTTCAGAGCAGTGGAAGAGTCCCTAATAGCAAACAACTTAAAGAGAGTGCATTTTACTATTTTGGTACTGTTATTTGATAAAGAACCTTCTTGAAAATACTCAACAAAAAAAAGTGACATACCGATTTTTCAGGCCAATGCACACGGGGTACAAACCCCACCATAGTATCAGGAGCACTCTCCCAAACGTTGAATGCAAAATCTACCGTATGACAAGGAAATATGATATCATCATCAATTGAGAAGACAGCGTCTGTTTTCAAGTCTTTAATTTCTTTAAATCTGTTGTTCAAACTGTCTTCTTTGTTAATATCAAATCTCAGCTCAACCTCATGCCCATCTCGCGATTTTTTCTTCAGAACGTTTTGAAGATACTTTTTAAGAGAATCTGATGGAGGGTTAGGTTCACTCCATACAATGTGAATAGAGTCAAGCCTAGAACATGATGCATAGTGGGAAACAGACTTCTTTAAGAGATCATATCTCTTCCATGTGTTCATCAGAAGTGTATAACCTTTCCTGCAGACGTGATTAAAAAATCCATCAAATTAGACAATAAAGAACAAAAATTACGCGGTCAAACCAAAAGCAGAAGACCAACTACCTAATTAGAAATTACATTTACTCCATAAGTCCTAACCTTTGCACATACCAACATAAGCATCTCTGCTTATGCAAAAATAGTAAGTACCATGTCACTAGCTTAACATAGCAAGATTATGAATTCATATACTCTAGTGTCTATAAATCACAGAATCACTGTAGCTTCTGCATTCATATATCCATAGATTCATTAAGTGAAAGGAGCTTAAGAACACTTAGTCTGGTTATAAATAGAGCTGAGAAACAACACAAACCATACCAAATCGCTATAGCCAAAGAATTTCCAGTTTTAATTATGAATTTTAAGAAATGAATGGAGACGAAGTTTTCATTTAGATGCTTTCTATGTTCTAAAACAAACCTAATATAGTTGAACGAATCCGGAAAAAAAGGTTAAACGAATCTCAGTTATAATAGCACTAATCAAAAATTACTTTCCATAAATTTCCTTTCCTAATATATCAATCTAGTCTTCACCAACAGTTACCATTTAGAGATCCAAATCAAAAGTTAGACCGATATAGTAAAATCTGCAGGTAAGGATTCAGAAAAACGACACCTTGATCCGGAGATCCGATCTGCGACGGCGATTGAACTGTTAACCCAAGGACGAGAAGATCGGCAAACGATTGTGACCAAAACGAAAGCGATGCAACAAAATAGAAGAAATTTAGTACTCCTCGCCGTCACGAACTTTCGTAATTTCTGATCTCCACGACGATACGCTAATGAACAAGCTCCCATCTCTTTACTAACTTCTCCTCCTCCCATCTAAAATCACGAATTCAAGTTTCCAAAAATAGAGAAGAACTAGAAGATGAAGACGAGAAAGACGACTCAGAAGTCAACTTTGTCAAGAGCGAGTCGACTCAGTCTTCTTTAGTCATCATCGCCTTCTTTCTCTATAGGCGAATTATCGCAGATCAGAGACGACAGATACTCTTCTGGTGCGGCACGGTGCACAGTAAGAAGAAATCATAAAGCCACGTGTATTAATCTCAACCGTTCGCGTTAGCTTCATAACCACGATCTCGACGTTTTCCTTATTCAATGTTGACGTGGTAAACTGTCTTAGGCTAAAATGTGGGTCCCACTTGAGTATTTTCAGAAATATTTTAATAGAACGATTAAAAGTAAAAAAAAAAACAACTATTAAGGCAAAAAAATGGTAAGAATAAACAATTTAATTGTAATTTAAGTCAATAATTTTCTGTTTAGTCAAAAACTCAAAACAATAATCTTCTTCTTCTTCTTCTCTATGGATCATCTTCGTCTTGAGGAGTAGAAGAAGCAAGAGATTGTGCAAAATCAGAATCCATTACAACACCATTCATTATGTGCACGATGATTTTACCTCTCTTTAATCCCATCTTCTCAGATTCAACGCCATTAACGACTAATCCACCACCATTTCTCTTTTTCCAAATCTTAAGTGTGAAACCACTCAACGACTCATACGACGCCGTTTCGTCTTTCCCTAAGTCTACTTCTTCTACTTTGTAAGGAACCACCGCGAAACTCATGATCCTCGATACGACGGCGTATGTGTTATCTCCGTCGTCGTCTTCTTGGGATTTAATCGGACGGCTACTGTTTAATTTCAGCCCTAGATCTCGGCTGAATGATTTTTCCGACGGTACGAAGGCTGTGAAAACCAGATCTTCAGGTAGCATTTCGATCATCATCTTCCCGAAGAAACCGAGTTCGTCGGATATGTCGTCTCCGAGTTTGCGAAGATGGTGGTTACCGGTGACGGGAGTTGTTTCAGGTAATTTAAGAAAGGAGAAGATGAGTATAGTTAAGGAAGAAGCAGTGATGAGAAGAAATAAGAAAAACACTGGATTCTTCAAGAAATGAGGTTTCTTCATTTTTTTTATTCTAGTTCTTGTTGCGTTGATTTCATCGATAGAGCTCCGCGTAAAGGTTTTGTTTGGAGGAAGAAGAAGAGAAGAATGAAGCTCGATCTGGGAAAAAGGAGTTCGTAATTTACAAGTTAGTTAGAACGGTCTCGAATTTTGGACTTTGGTGGGCTTTTCACAATTTTGGCCCAAATCATATTTCGCTGACTTGCAATAGATTTGGCCCAAATAATCGCTAAAAAGCCTTGAAGAAAACATACGCTACACCGTTTCCTCAGACCCAATAAATCGTTTTGTTTCAAAAAAGTAAAAACATTACTGAATTTGAAAGCTTCTAATTTCAACATTATACTTTTTTCATTTACCATTTAGCATTTTCCTTAAAAATATATGTTAAATTCGAAATAGAAAAATATTATTGCCAAAACCATAGAAAAAAAGGAAACCAAACCATCGAACCGAAAAAGTAGAATGGAAATTCGAACATGTAAAAGGAAAATTCGATACTGTAAAAAATGGCAATTTGCTAATCGCTCCTTCTATATATACACGACTCTGCTCATCATAATTTTCATCAAGCAAACTCATAATTTCCTCAGTCTTTCAAAGTTCAATCTCTTAATTTTTCTGCGATCTTTCGAAAGTTTCCACAATGGAGATGTTACTTGGTGGACAAGCAACCAATGGAGCTCTTCGTTCAAAGACGAAGATAGTTTGTACTCTTGGACCGGCTTCAAGATCGGTGGAGATGATTGAGAAGCTTCTCAAGGCTGGTATGAACGTAGCCCGGTTCAATTTCTCCCATGGTTCTCACTCGTACCATCAAGAAACTCTCGATAATCTCCGAACCGCCATGGACAACACTGGAATTCTCTGCGCCGTCATGCTCGACACAAAGGTACCAAACATCGTTTTTACAATATTTAAATTCTCTTTATACATTACTTTGAGACGAGACTCAATGGAGGACTTGAATCTAATTCGGTTTAATTTTGTTGTTTACAGGGTCCTGAGATACGAACCGGGTTTCTCAAAGAAGGCAAACCGATACAGCTAAACCAAGGTCAAGAGATCACCATCTCAATTGATTACAAGATAGAAGGAGATTCAAACACTATCTCCATGAGCTACAAGAAACTTGCAGAGGATCTCAAACCTGGAGATGTCATTCTCTGTTCAGACGGCACAATCTCTCTAACTGTCTTGTCCTGTGACAAGAATCTTGGTCTCGTTCGTTGCCGATGCGAGAACTCTGCAATTCTTGGAGAAAGAAAAAACGTTAATCTCCCTGGAATTGTAGTTGATCTCCCAACACTTACTGAGAAAGATAAAGAAGATATTATGCAATGGGGAGTTCCGAACAAAATCGACATAATCGCTCTTTCTTTTGTTCGTAAAGGATCTGACCTAATCGAAGTTAGGAAGTTACTTGGAGAGCACTCAAAGAACATTATGCTTATGTCAAAGGTGGAGAATCAAGAAGGTGTGATGAATTTTGATAAGATTCTGGAGAATTCTGATGCATTCATGGTGGCTAGAGGAGATCTTGGGATGGAGATTCCAATCGAAAAGATGTTTCTTGCTCAGAAAACAATGATCAAGATGGCTAATGCTCTTGGGAAACCAGTGGTCACAGCCACACAGATGCTTGAATCCATGACAGTATCTCCTCGTCCCACTAGAGCTGAAGCCACTGACGTTGCAAACGCGGTTCTTGATGGGACAGATTGCGTTATGCTTAGCGGAGAAACAGCTGCTGGAGCTCACCCTGAGGCCGCCGTGTTAACAATGTCAAGGATCTGTAAAGAAGCAGAGGATTTCATCGATTACGACGTTCTCCACAAGAAAACCCTAGGAATGGTCTCGCTACCGTTATCCCCGATCGAGAGTTTAGCTGCTTCAGCTGTTTCGACGGCGCGGAGTGTTTTTGCGTCGGCGAGCGTCGTCGTCACTAAGGGCGGATACACCGCAGAGCTCGTGGCTAAATACCGTCCCAACGTTCCGATTTTGTCGGTGATTGTGCCGGAGATTGCTCAAGGGAATGATATTGAGATGTCTTGCTCGGACTCGGTGGCTCATGTGGCGAGACGTGGTTTGATTTACCGTGGGATTATTCCGGTGGTGGCGACGGCATCTTCGGCTAGGGATTTAAACAAAGTTGCAACGGAGGAGATGATTAGATTAGCTATCGGATTCGCGAAGACGAAGGGAATTTGTAAAACTGGAGATTCCATTGTGGCTTTGCACAAGATTGATGGTTCCTCTGTTGTGAAGATAGTGACCGTGGAGTAATCCAGTTTTAATAAAGTCATGAAATTTTAATTTCGGTTTAAACATTGTTTTTGGTCGCATGATAATAAAGTTTAAACAGAATTTCATTATTTGTTTTACTTATTAAAATTATTTGTTCTTTAAAAGTTATATCACAAGTTGTGGGATACTAAAGCTTTGGTAATAGTTTTGTTGCTTCTCTTATAAACCAATGGAAAAGAAGATTATCCGGTTTATGGAAAAATAGACATGCCTTTCAAATATTTTTTATAAATGGGTTCTAAGCAGTAACTCCAATGGGAACATTCTTGAGTCTTGACGTTCCATAAAGGGTTTCTTCGAAGCGGATGATTTCGTTCTTTGAGCCATAAGCAACTTGAGTTCTATCGTCGAGGTTGATGATGGTCTTGTCGAGCACGGACTTGTGTCCATCACTGCTGAATCCACCAGCATTCTCTATGAGCAGGCCAAGAGGAGCCACTTCGAACAACAGCCTCAACTTTGCCTTAGCCGTAGGAGAAGTCACATTTGTGAAGATTCCTTTCTCCTTCACAATAATCTGCCAAAAACAAGTAACTGCTAAAGTCAAGTGTCCATTCACAAGTAGAAAAATTCCGGTTATAGTGTTGAAGAAGAACGAACCTGGTTAACGTCAGGAACCATTCCTCCAGTGTATCGCAGTGTGTACTTCTCTTTCACGTAGTAATCAATCAGCTGATTTCACAATGAAAGTAATGAAGAAGAAAAGCATTCAGAGTGAGGATTAGATTCGAGCAAGATTAAAGTTATATCGATAGACAGCAAGAACCTTGCTGTATTCGGAGTTGTCGAATGTGGCTCTCAAGTTTCCTGGTGAGAACATTTTCCCTTCTGCGATCTCTGTTGTCTCCTTTACATGCTGCCATTTCCCTGACAAAACATTTTGAGCTTAGTTTAAAGCTACCAAAGAAGAAATCTTGATACAAAAAGGATTAGACCAAAACCTTCATCAAGAAGCAAGAACTCATGAGTTCCTGGAAATCCCTTAACAGCCAAAACATAAGTGGTTCGTGGACCGTAGATTCCCATGGCTGCAGCCACTTGATCTCCTCCCGTGACTCCGGTTAACTTGTCTCCAGGCCAAACACCGAATATGGTTCCCACAGTGAAATTTGTATCCACAATGCTTGATCCATCCAATGGATCAAACGCAACACTAAACCCACCTGTCCAAAACAATTTCATATTCTTTCGATAACTATTTTTCTCGCGATTTAGGAAGCGGAAATGTCAGTTAAATTTTGTGTAAACCAACCTTCCACTGGACCTCCCATGTCTTGAAGCTCAGGTACTTCTTCAGAGCAAGCATACTTGCACACATGCGAGTATTGCAAAGCCTATATAAAACCATACACAAATCAAAACCTAATGATCCATTTTCTGATACAAAACTTATCCCATAAGTTAATTCAAAATGTAACAAAAACCTCAAAGAGAAGCTTATCAGCAAGCATATCAACAGCGAGTTGTTCATCACCAAAGGAATTAACACAAGCTGTTCCACCACAAGAAGCTGTTCTAACTTTAAAAGCTATTGTTCTCAATGCTTCTCCCATACACACCAGCAAAGTTCTCAGTCCTTTGTCAGGAGTTGCTTGTGCCAAAAACTCTTCCTAATACATTCAAAAGTAAGAAACTTTAACTCAAAGTTCGAATATTCAAACACATAATTTGAATAAAGATTGAGTCTTTTTTGTTACTCAACCAAGCTTTGGCCAATTTCACATTTGGTAACAGTTGAAGCACCATTGTTCTTCGCCTTTGTGGCTTTAAATTGCGATTTTGGTGCTAATCGTAGTGAATCTCCGAAGATTGAACTCGATTTCAGACGCTGCTTATATCAAATATCACAATGAGTAACACTAGTACTGAAAGTCTGAAACAAATCCTACTCTGAAGTAAAAGTTATATATGCATATAATTGCAGAGGAAAACGAACCTTGAAGCTGGAGGATGTGGAGAAGGAAGGAGGAGAGACCAATGTAGAGGATCGTTGAGAAGAGACGTTTGGGGGAAGGATCCCACGTGAGTAGCACGCGATGCTGGTCTCCATTGTTAAAAGCTCGAGGTTTTTTGATCGAAGAAGAAGAGCTTTGAGTAGAGAGAATGGTGAAGACAAAAAATCAAGAACACAAGTGGACTTGAAGGAGATAAAGGGATATTCACGGTCAGAGTGACACGTGGCAGTAGCTGAAGAAGATATGATTAAGGGTCTGGTGATGGGCAATTGGGCGAGAGAGAGAGACTGATGCAAAGAGATGTGTTGAGAGGCTTTGATTTGCGTTCATTCATTTTTTGTGTGGTTATGATCTTCCTTTTATCATTATGAGATTATATTATCTCCAATTTCAGTTCACATCGCCAAGGATATAGATAGAAACCAAAAAGATGATAGTATTAATGTATTATGCAAGTAGAAGTTAACATTACATTTGGTTGTTTATAACAAAAAAAAAAAAGATAATATCAGAGACAGGTTTCGATCCTGTGACCTGTGGGTTATGGGCCCACCACGCTTCCGCTGCGCCACTCTGATTTGTTGATTAAAATAATGATTTTGACTTTATAATGAATATTAAATACATATTTTAATAATGATTTTAAATTTATAATGATTATTAAATATATATTTTAGGAATGTCATAAGATTCTCATTAATATCTAAGGAATGACTGGACTATTATAAGATTCTTTTGCATATTTTTCATTTTATTTCTGGGTAATATTATAAAACCATTTGTTCAGATTTTGCCATTTTGGTTAATTTTTTTTTTGTCATCACCATTTTGGTTATTGGTAATTGATTTTCAATAGTTTGACTAATTAATGGCTAATAATAGCCTAATACTATAGCTCTCATACGGCTATAACTTTACCAACATTTACCATAAACCTTTCCCAAATGGATTTGAACCAAGGAATCTTTAAATTCACAACTTTGAGTAAGATCTAGAATCCCTATTAGCACAAAAACTATTAGGTTAGCATACATAATTTTACTTATCAAATAAGCATTGACAAATATAACAACAAAATCCACAAATTTCTGTGCAAGACACGGAATAAACCCAATTATACAATACAAAAGGATATCAAAGACAAAGCCAAAACAATATTACAGCAAATCAAACATTAACACTGAAAAGACATAATCAAAGTCTATATACACTATTCAGTTATAGAAAATTAAAAGCCAAAAACATATAAAAACCATGAATAGGGAACTTTGTATACCACCAATTCTACCTCCGTTACTAAAATCCTCCCCACCCCCTCCACCACCTCCTCCACCCCCACCACCACGGCTTCCTCCACCGCCACCACGGCCTCCTCCTCCGCCACTGAGAAGCTCCCGTCGCCAAACTGGAAAATAGATCTCAGAAGACGTTTCATGCTTCAGATTGGCGAGTGAGACAGAGGTTTCAGTGGTTGAACCAACGGCTTGGATATGTGCATGGATCGCTAGTAGTAATAGTAACATTTGAGCGATTAGTTTAATTGATTTGTGTATAACCATTTTTTTCGTTTATCTTCAAAGAGTAGAACAAGATGTGTTTGTGTTATTCACCTATATATAGACCTCTATTTATACAACAAGATGTGTTTGTGTTATTCACCTATGGACCTCTATTTATACGGATTTCATCCCGCCAACGTCTCAATCTTTTACTTTATTATATTATTGTATTATGATAACTTTCAAGAATTATTCTAGTTTACTTCTGTGAAAAAGAAATGGATAATGGTCCGGACCGAAGCAAGATGTTGAAGTCAAAATTATACTTGCAAATCTAATCGTTTTATATAAATGGGAAATTAGAATCTACAAATCAAATATACGTCAATCTTCAAAGATCAGATGTGGATTTTGAAATTTTCTTCTCACATTCTCCAAATACTGATTCTTATTCACATAGGACTTCATTGAGTTTCATATGAAATTGATTTTTTCTTTAAAAAAACAAATTTGTTTGTGTATGTCAAAGGTTGAATCTTTTGTTTTCCCAATTATTTTAATAAATATTAATGTTGTTTGTTAAGACGCAAACGTTTCGTGTCTTGATATTCAATCTAGGTCTTGAAAATTTGAACAGCTCTCGCAATGAATAGTACTAGTGTTGTGTTGGCTAACTTAACGTATTAGTTGATTTTGGAATTTGGTTTCTATTTTAACTATGTTTAAGGAAGTTCACATTACATACCGGATTTTGTAAGGTTCGTCGCAGATCATCTTATGGAACTGGTAGTACCTATAGAGCAGCTAAGGATATTGATTCTCTGACCATTGACGTGGACATATATCTTATAGGGTGTATAACTAATAGGAGAGTTTTGTGCACAAACCCATTGTAAATTATTGATTTTTGAGCATCGGAAAACGAGATTCATTTGAAGCGAGGTCGTAACGAATATTCACAAAGATACCACATATGAGGCAAAAGAGCTACTATGCTGGAAAAAATATAATGAATGCACTATTGGTCCATCCATATGATCTATCATCTACCTAAAAACTGACACAAGACAGGTTTTTTGGAGTTATGTTCAAAAATCAATACAGCAGAAACACAAGCTAAGTTCACAAGACATGGTGAAGGATGAGAATGATCTTGGTCACTGGGTCATGTGTTACCATGTGTGTGCTGCTACTTCTCCATCTTCAATGTATCTTGACTCTTGTATACATCTGATTACTGTTAAAACGATTGAACAGACATGTCATCAATCAATTTCAGGATTAGATTTATACACATTTGCTTCATCTTATATAGTTTCTATGTGACCTAATCATCACAGATAAAACTTTTTCTTGAATCCAGACAAATGGTTTCATTAATGCTCATGAAGTTCAAGTTCAATGTGCCATTCTACTCAAACAATTTCATGCACTCAACAAAGAATAGCTTCTAAATTTCTGCAAACATAGCCGTAACCTAAGCCAATCATCTAGTGATCTAATTCCAAAGAACCAAAAAGAAGAAGCAGAGGAAACAGGACAGTACCTCTCTTCTACATCAACAGATAAAGCATCACCACCTCCACAAAGATTCCAATCAAAAGCCCTTTGAATCTTCTGACTTTGCCTCCATCCGAGAATTCAAAGCTGTACTTACTAGTCATGTTATGATGCAGAAGTCCCCAATTCCTAATCCCTTGCTTAGCATCTTTCTCAACAAGCTCAAAGATATAAACCTCTGAAACACCTTCTTTCCTCAACGGTGTTCCATTTCCACTTCTCAGATGAGTTAACAAAGCTTTCAAGAACATCTCACTGTACAACAACGTCGCATCTACTTCACTAGCATCAATTCCAGAGCTAGGCCAACCAGTCTCCGCCACAATCACCGGTAGATTCTCGTGACCCATAACAGCCATAGAGCTAATCACAGCATCAACCATCATATCAAACAGATTACGGTATCTAACTCCGGTGGTGAGATCGTCTCTGAAATTGAACGGGAACTCTTCAAAAAGAGCAAATCCAATCGGAATTGAGAAGCTAGACCGATACATATTGTAGGGATAGAGATTGATCAAGAAAGACGAATTCGTTCTTTCAAGGAATTGCAAAATCGGTCTGATAATCACTTCGCCGTTAGGTTGTTGAAACTGCGCCGACGATGGTGGAAACGCCGTGGGTACGATGTTGAAGAAAGAGAACGTCGTTGATACAGAGATCTTGAAGATTCTCAGATCTACGAGAGATAGATGAACATTCTGCATCGCACGGAGGAGAAACGGAGATACGTCCGGCGAGTATGAAATCACGTCGTTTCCGACGGAGATGATTGAGATCTTGGTGCGAGGATGGAACGGAAGCACATGGCGATAGACCCAACGCATCGCGAGAGAACGATTTGAAGCGAGGAGAGGAACTAGAGGATTTGGTACGGAGAGGAATAGAGATACGTTTGTGTAAGCGAAGGCACGAATCATAGCCGGATTTGAATCGAGGAGTCTCACCGCCGGAATATTCATAGAAACGACTTTTTCGGCGATTCTGTCCGGTGATAGTTGTACGGTGCCGGAGATTGAAGCTGGAGTCGAGTAGGTGACTCCGATCGTCGTGGCGGAGGCTATGGCGGTTAACGAGATAAGGAGGAGGAGGTAAGAGGAGAGAGAGTGCGTTTTCTTCATTCTCTTTTTCTTTCTTTCTTCGAAGTTAGAGAGAGAAAGTGAAATCGGAAACTGAGAATTCTGATCAAGAGAGACTAAAGGTTGAAGACGAAGTGTGAGAGAATGGGCGGGAGGATTCTGTTAGAGGAGTTAGTGATCCTCTGTGGTACTGTGTATATTTGATACTGTAGACATCACTCACTCGTAATCTAGACGTTGATGTGACTACACGTGGCAGATGTTTGACCAAAGGCTTACGGCGTTGAACATTATAGTCAAAACCCTCTATCTTACTCAGAGGCTTTCTAGTTTCTACTATTAGACTCTTTTATATATCTCACAATAGAAACGAAAAAAAAACGAAATTGAAGATTAATAAGGAAAGTTTCCGATTTTTTATAGATACCAAATTACGAACACAAACAAAGATTTTAGGAGACATCAACGGAAATAAGAACATCAAAAGGATAGATTACACACACGCTCACACAAAGAGAAAGCAAACTGAACCAGTTTGGCATTAACTTCAAATTTAGACTAGAGAGGAGATTATTGAATTTTAAGACTCAGGAACCGAGGCTGCTGGTACACCGGCAGCGACTGCAGCGGCTGCAGAGCGTTTGATGGAAGCGGATTTAATTAAGTGGTTGTAACTTCCCTTCTCCTTGAAGAGCTGAGCGAAATGGTGCTTGCAGTACAGGATTCCTTCAAGAGCTGCGTAGTTGGAAGGCGAAATCGGGCAGCCTCCGTGTGAGCACTTGAAGCAGGACTTGTGATATGTCTGGCTCTCTACTGTTACCTGCAGTTTTCAGAATTGAAAAAGAAGGATGTTGGTGACCAAATAGCTTTCAAAGATCCCATAAAGAGTTTTCATATTAAGTCATGATGTCGATATTTTTCATATTCATGTCTTTCACCAAGAAAAGAGGATTATGGTTTACTCAAGAACCAAGCACAAGCCATAGCTATGAGAATCTGTTAGTAGTAGTAGTTGTCAGAGCATTATGTTCCTTGCAAGTTAATCCCAACGTGAAAGAAAAAACACAGTAGAAGCGTTGCAAGTCAATTTGTAATATATTTAGACATAGATCATAGAGGACAGAAAGGTGATTCTAAAGTTAAGTTGATGGAATATGCAAGAGTGTTTTAAGGAATATGTTACCTTTTCGATAGGATACACAGTTTTACTGCAAGTGGCACATTTCTCTTGTGTACCAGAGAACCTGCCGGCAACTCGGCTAGGTGTCCTTGTCTGAGAACAAATCAAGAAGGAAATATAAGAGAAAAGTTCAATCAGAGAAATGTATCCTTTTGTTAAAACCAGAATAAGAACTATTTACCAGCTCAGGAGTTGATTTGTCAGCCGGTTTTGCAGCTGTGAAACAAAGTTCAAGACTGATTAAATCGATAACCAAAAGAAGGGTAAGCGAGAAAACTGGAATCAAAGCAGAAACAAGACTACATACGTGACTGAAAGTTCTTGTTGAAACTACCACTCTCCTTGAAGAGCTGCTCAAAATGAGGCTTACAGTACAACACACCTTCCATTGATGAGTAACTGCTCAGCTGAAAAAACCCATAAAAAAGACAATTACTTTCGCAAGAACTGCTTATGGGTACAATGGGCATTCAAATTGTAGCTGTGAAACTCATTCCTCCAGCCAAAGCAGCAATACAAAGATAAAAGTCAGACCTGAAGCCTGCTTTTGCAGTGAGTGCATTTGAAGCAAGACTTGTGATAGCCAACACCATCAGCTGAGAGAAGCTCAACAGCATAAACAGTCTTCTCACAAGCCTTGCATTTCTGTTGAGTTCCTGTAAAAGACATCCTCAAAGCCTTGCCTTCACTTTTCTCACCTTCCTCTTCTTCTCACCCTAAATTTCAAAAACCCATAAAAACAAAGCTATAAGAAGAAACCCCACTGAAAAAAAATCCTTCCTTTTTCCAACGATTCTAATAACAAAATCGATCCATTGATAATTGAAACAAGATTGTACTCAAACGAAGCCGATCTCCATAGAATGAGATCTTAAACCTTGAGAAAGTTTATCACAAAGGACGGATCTATTACCTCTCCTTGAGCTGACTCCTCTCAAGATCTGATCCTCAAACGAAACTGCAAAATACACGAATAAAAATTAACCAGAGGAAGAGATGTGAGGATGCAAAAAAGTCAACTTGTTTGAGGAGAGAAGAACTGTTACGTATATCTATCGTCAAGTAACGAAAATGGAGATCCTATGTGACGATGATGAGGAACAAGAAGAAGAAGATGATACAGCAGAGGAATAAGAATATCGGAGATTTGTGTAAAAAAGCCCTTTTTTATCTTCTCCTTTTGCTGTAGAGAAGACAGTGGGGTTCCACTTCGGCTTGTCCTCTCTCTGATTTGTTTTTTTATTAGAATTTTGTAAAAAATGTAACAGCAAAAAATTGAAAGATTATTATTGGTTATATAACTTTATTCTCTTGGAATGGAATGTGTTCCAGTTTTCTAATCAGATTTGTTATATGGACTAAAATACCAAATAAACTTAGGCCATACTCATTAACAAACACCAAAGCATCTAACAAATTAGAAGTGATAATAATATTACATTGCACTTGATCAAACTACTCTAAAATTGTAGGCCAATTCTTATTGTCCCAGCTTATTTATATATTTATGGCTTAGTCTTTGATTTAACTAGGACATATCAGAAGGCTTCTTAACGGCTCTGAGCTGAACAGAGTTGTCAAAACAGTGGAAGAAGCCAAAGTGAGGGAACCTCTCATACCAAGTTTCTTGTGGTACATGTGTGTCCCAGTGTTCTCCGCTGCTGCTTTTTCCGTATTTGTGAACCCATCCTGATCCGTTGTGACCTTCGCCCCAACTTCGGTTCCATCTGTCACCGTGCTTCCCTTCCCACCAAGTCTCACCTTGTTTCACTCCTTGAGCGCTCGGGTTGAAGTTCTCGTCCCATTTGTCTCCCCATTTGTCCCAACCGTCTCCTACCCACCGCTCTGCCCACTTGTCTGTGTACTTTGTGCTTCCGCCTTGCCCGTCATACTTCTCTCCCCACCTGGTCAAAACCAATCAAGACAGATTTAGAAACAGTCTACATTCCCTGTTAATTAGTCATAGCTTGTGTAGTTTCAGTTCTATTTCCTATATAGATGCAGAGCTGTTTGAACAGAACAGAAGAGAGCTACATATCTTCTGAAGACAAGTTAGGAGTTGCTTACTACAATACTAATCGCTACCAGAAGTCACAAGTCAAAATAACAGATAAGACAATGCTCACAGACTAGGCTTCTAGACGTTAATAGAGCATCCCAAAGAGTGTGAAAAGACAATGTTTTGCTACTAAATTTAAGTAGAGTATTATCGATTTGATGTTCAACAATATAAGGTGTATAAATTAAAGGATAAACATTTGACTTGTGTTGAAGAGTTAGATGATATCGTAAAGACTATGTTAATGGTGTTTTTGCTATGTGAAAAGAGGATTTTGAGTACCTCTCATGCCAGACATGAGCGTGGCCAGCATCAAGGGGTGTGTTGCGGTCAATGCTGCACCACTTATGAGCCCATTTTTCTGATTTTCCAGTAGCATCGTAATGCTCCCACCACTTCTCTTGCCATTCATCACCTTGACCACTCTTTCCCCACTTGTCTGCAGTTTTCTCCATATGCACAACACCATTCTCCTGTAATAGACAATTCAAATTGAGTCTCAAATAGTCTATAGTGCGTACCGCTGCAGATAAAGTGGATCAGTCTCAAATACACTAACCTGGCTCATCGACTCTCTCCAGAACTCACGCCACACGTTTCCAGTCGCATCACGTCCTGATTTCTCGGAACCAAGTTCCTTGAACCCAAAATCATCAGAAGCCTCCCAGTACTTATCTTGCCACTCAACAACACCATCAGCAGTAACCCCACGTATCATAGTCCACCTGCAAACCACACCATCAGGTCTTTTCTCTATACCCGTTTGCTTCCACCACTTCAATCCATCTTCACTAACTCCATGTGTTGAAGATTCATCCAAACTATCAAGAACACGAGCTGCTTCTTCCGCATTTGCTGAAGATATGAGATCAAGGTCAAGTTCTGTTGATGAAGTCTCGGAACTAGGCTTTGTCTCTGCCTCTTTTCGAACCTCGATCAAAGACTCAAAAGGCGGGATAGTAAAGCTATGTCTTTCAGAAGAAAGCATACTCTCATAGGGTATCGAAAGAGAATCTGCTGATTTGTCTTTATCCAATACAGGATTTGGCAAAGTTGGAAACTCAGCAGGCTTTTCCACAGCCTGCAAATCCACATTCATATCTGAACTTATTTCACTACCTTGAGGAGGTGTCCATGACCAAAAATCTGGTCCTGGTGTCTCAGTCCCAGAAGTTTCTGACCGTGGCACATACACTGTTCTGCTCCACATTCCTAATAAGATTCCAACAATATAGCCAAGTAAGGTGACTACTACTATCATAACTCTGGATTGTGCTAACAAGTAAAAGCTAATCAGCAAAATTTGTACCAAGTTTAGCATTTTTCGGTGTCTCGGTGACTTCACTTATCTCAGTGTTGTCCTCATTTGGAAATCCTTCTTTGCCGTCGCCGGAATTGTTAGAGGCGAGAATCGCTCTAGCAGCAGAGATTGCGGCAGCAGCACGATCAACGACCTGCATACGCTGAATCCGATCCCTTTCCTCAACGGAAACCTCAAGGATCTTCTGAAACTCATCACTCTTCTTCTCCAAGTCTCCTCCTTTCTCCTTCTCACCATCAACAGCTACAACATTCTCTGCAATTTTCTCAAAGGCTTTCTCTTTCTTCTCGCGATCAACAGCGTTTTTCCACATATCGAGATACGATTCGCGTCCTTCATTTGAAACCCTAAGAATCCTCACACCGCTTCTATTACCCCTTAAGCTCCTCCGGCTTGTCACCGGTGCCGTGAAATTCACAGAAGTGGTGGAGAAGTCACGTCGTCGTCGTCGTCCGTCGTCCCAATGAGAGGAACCTAAAGCGGCGCCTATAGAAACACCTAAACGCGAAGCCATTTGTTTCTTCTTCTTCGCTTGCAATTCCAATAACAAAGCCAGAATCAGTTTTAGAAACTTGTAATCAAAGAGAAAGACGAAGTCTTTGTGAGATCGTAAACCTCGAGGATAATTAATCGCAAGGGACGGATTGTGTTACCTCACGTTGAGCTGAGTCAGATCAGGATCTGTCTTCGAACGAAACTCCAGAATACACGGAAAGAGAAGAAGAAGAAGATGATGCACGAAAGGAATCGAATCTCGAAGATTGTGTTTAAGGACACAGTGAGTGTGGGATGTAACTTGTGTACTTTGGCTTTTTTTTTCTTATGTCGGCACCAAATATCTGGGTGTCTTTTTTTTTGGCGGGTGGTACCAAATAATTGGTTTAGTTATATGATTATCGGTAAATCAGAACTATAATTGTAACTTTTACCTCATATTATTCATTGATATAGTATGGAATGAGTATAACACCCCCAAACAAAAATAATGTAAGAACATTAAAATTAATATAAATTATTATTTTTGGCTGCAATTAGTTATAGAATTTCCTAGAAAAATTGATTTAATTGAAAGAAAAAAGTCTTACATTGCTACTTGCTAGATAGCACATACTAGCATGAAGAAGAATTGATTTCTTTCAATGACACTCAAATTGGAGAAGAGGTAATGGGATCATAGTAAGAAAAATCTTATAAGGAAATGATTCGGATCATAGCATTTCTGAAATTCCATTAATCCTCGATATTATATTATCTCAAGAAAAAAAATGTTTTACTTCGTCTAAAGATAAAATCAAAACCAACAGAGAGTCTAGAACAACAGTGAATAGATAAACTACAGCTCCAGAGAAATGATAATGGTGATTCCTTCCGATAGTTCTTGAAACTAGCCCTCCTGCATTAAGAAATCGAAATCAGGATCCATGTTCACTATACAGATTCATAAACTAAATAAATCTTGGACTATCTATTAAATATTTACAGGATGATTCTAATTGCTCTTAACTACAATGAAACGACTGATCTTAAATCCCAAGTTAATGAATCAGTGTAGAGGGTATAGTTTTTAATTCTAGAGAGGATCCTAATAGAAACAAAAGCAATAAAATGAGACTATTGGATCAAAAAAAACTGAAATGAGAATGTTACCTCATATGTTGCTTGGGTACATGAAGACTCTGACTCTAGCTCCCTGAGAGTAACACAGCAGATCAAAATGATTAGTCTGGAAGAAAAAATCCAAATCAACTATGATATGTTCTAAGATAATGATAAAGTACCATTGACTTGGGTGGTAGGTTTGAAGTGAACTTAGAACGGACAACACCGCTGTTACCATGAGGCCTAGTGACTTTGCCCCAAATGCAACGGTAGTGAGAACCGTTCTTCTTTGTCTTTGCTTTGTAGATGTAAGCCAAACGCTTACCCTTGTACCAATTAACCTCCTCTTGAGTGTTCACACCTTCAATCTGGATGAGAGAAGTGTTGGGATATTGGTTCGACTTGGACCTGAAACATTACTTAATCATTAGTAATCAAGATTTATTTCATTTTATATAAGCAATCAAACAACTACTTCAAAGCTAATCTCAAGGAAACAATAGCACAAATGCATCACTTTTCACAACCATAGATCAGAAACAATGGAATAACATTACAAATATGAGAGCATTATCATTCAAATCTATCAGTTGTGGCCAAATTTCATAACTTCATCGAGATCTTTGTTGATATCCAAAAACGAAAGATTAATATTCAAATCCCAATGACTTAACAATACTGCAAACTAAACACTACAATATCCGACTATAAACGCAACATTGAAGTCTGAATCTAAGAAAATACAGAGAAAGACGGAAAATTGAAAGTACCTCTTGTAACCGAGGACGGTTCCACGAACATACAATCTGCAAAACAGCAAAATAAAGATTTCATCAGACTAAGTAAACCACTAATGATCAAATTCGAATTGGAGATTCAGCTCAAACAGAGAGGAATCTGTTTCAGATTGGAAACCCTAATTACCTAACTCTCTCTCCTTGACGACCCTTCATTTTCAATCCTTGCAACTGTCTTCTTCCTCTTCTTACTCTCTTTTATGCCGGCGAGCGGATTCACAGAGAAAAACCTAGCTTTCGTTATTAGGTCAAGACTCAAGACTTTATATGGATTCGTAAATAAGCGCAACACAAAACTCTATTGGGCCTATCTGTGGCTATCTCAAACAAGTTGGCCCAAACTTTTATACGGCTTGGCCCAAATATGGCTTTTCTTAAAAAGACTGATTAACGTTTAATTAACGAAAACAGTTTAATCACAAAAAAACAGAGACAACACAAGAATGGAGAAAACAGAGGAAAGCGTCGGAATCAGGGTTTACACGTCCACCGTCTCGTTCACCAAAACCAGTCGGAATCTCTTCACTGCTACACTTCCCGCAGGGGCCGCTGTCGGAGGAGGAAAAGGTCGAAAACGTCGCATGGTGGCGAAAGGAGTTCAAAAAACGGTTTCGTCAATGATCGTCAATTTTTTTCCGACAGGGAACACTATTGATGTTCGAAATGGTTCTTCCGTCAGTGTACCGTTACGGAGACTGTACCGGAATCAACACGCTCATGATTCATATATCTTCTCTTGCTTTTATGCGCAATGTGTTGTTTCTTCTTCCATTTCACTGACAGTTTCAAAGCGTTTAGTTAGGCAACGTGAACTCGCCTCTCGCGGTGTTCATGAAACCGCCACCGCCAGAGTTTGGAGGCAGAGATTCCAGTGACTGATGATAGGTACAAGTTGAGGGTTAATGACTTTGTGCATGCAGTGATGAGTGTTTTAGTGTTCACGGAAAAAAAATGTTTAGAATTTTCTTTCATTTTAAGGTAATACAAGTAACAACAAAAGGATTACAATTTTATTACAACGTTAACAATGTCGAAGACTACAATTGTAGAGAAGACTTTATAATCAACATAGCAAAAACATGGAAGTTCTTGGAGTCAACAGAAATGAGTCTAACAGCAGCAATACCAGCAGCAAGAGATATTAATCCAAAGAAGCAAACATTGAGCCAGTGCCAAAGCTTTTGCACAAGACTAAGCTTATCGTTCATAGCAACAAGATACATGTGATTCGCTAATATGAATGGGAGAGGGAATGTGCTTATCGCTCCTGTGAGGCTCATGAAATCTCTGAGAAATGGCAAAAACGCAGAGAGAAGAGTGCTCACCGCGATGTAGCTCCCTTATGCTACATGTAATGTAAGTCTCTCTTCTTCAACCGCTAGACCTCAATGAGTCTTTGCGTCTTAATCCTTAGCTTAACTGTTTTATTTCTTGTGTGTTTTTTTCCAAGATTTCTGCAAGTCCGACTTATGTTTAACAGATAAGCCGATGTTGAAGACTTATCACCTAGGACATGATGTCAAGTTTTGTTTTATTTTCACAGTTTTAAAGTTAAACACTTAAGGTTTTTATACATGAAAATATTTTATATAACTAAAACCTTAGTTAAAATCAAATCAGTTTTTTATATAACTAAAACCTTAGTTAAAATCAAACCAGATTACATATATTAAACTTAGTAATAAACCCGAAAACCAAAAGTGAGGAGAAGAAAACAATTTGACAAATAATAGCAAGGTTTAGGGGTCAAACCGGTAACTTTGTAGGAGGATAAATTTAATATTCAAAAACAAAAAAAAAATGTTAAATTTACAACACGTGAAAACATGATACCAATCTTACCGACTAAAAGGACGGGATGCAAAGTCCGGTTTGTTTTTGACATATTTAAATTTAACACTAAGGTTTTTTAGAAATAAAAACATTATGTATAAAAAAAACTTTTAGTTAAAAATCAAAATAATTTACTTAAAAACATAATTTGTGAAAATACTAAAACTTAAATGTTAAATCTTCATTACGTGAAAACATGTAGAACTTATGACAACTCAAGACTTACGGACAAAAAGATCGGGAGAACAGAAAAAGGAGTTAATCGTCAATTGTAGATTTCAGATATGTTTGGTTTTTCTTTTTGGTGAGTCAAAATATTCTTGGTTTAAAGGAACAAAGTGTAAAGCAAAAATGCATGATGAGAAGAGAGAATCGAATTTGTCATGCAAGTGCTATTATCTACCATTATAATTTCTATAAGTCCAACTTGTTTTTGACGTATTTAAATTTAACACTTAGTTTTGTTTTTAAAACAAAAACATTTGTCAAAAAAAACTTTTAGTTAAAAATCAAATTTTTTTACTTAAAACATTTTTTTGAAAACACTTAGGTTTAAAAACATAACTAAGTGTTAAATCTTCATTACGTGAAAACATGTAGAACTTATGACACCTCAAGACTTACGGACCAAAAGGACGGGATGCTAAGTCCAACTCGTTTTCGACGTATTCAAATTTAACACTTAGTTTTGTTTTTAAAACAAAAAAAAAAACATTTTGTAAAATAAAAAACTTTTAGTTAAAAATCAATTTTTTTACTTAAAACATTATTTTTGAAAACTCTTAGGTTTAAAAACATAACTAAGTGTTAAATCTTCATTACGTGAAAACATGTAGAACTTATGACACCTCAAGACTTACGGATCAAAATGACGGGATGCTAAGTCTATTCAAATTTAACACTTAGTTTTGTTTTTAATACAAAAAAAATTAACACTTAGGTTTTTAAAAAAAAATATTTTATATAATTAAAATTCAATTAAAAATCAAAACCGTTTAACTAAAGTATTATGTTTTAAAAATCTTGAAATTTAGTTTTAAATCGAAAAAATCAAAGTGAGAAGCAATTTATTTACCTAATAAAATAATTCATACCTTGTAATATAATTGCTGTGGCCAAGGTGCTCTGTATTCCTCGAAGCCGTCTTAGAGATATCATCACGTGGCCTTGACTTTCAGAAACCTCCACCGCACGTGACCGCTTGGAGTAAGCTTCTCTCCGTCTTCATCGTTGTTCTTGCTGACTCTCGATAGTGGTGCGTCTTCAAATTGCTTAATCATTCTCGTCGTTTAGAGTTTCTCACCGAGTTAGACCGAGTTGAGGAGGAAACACCTCTGTTGGATTAGCCAATTCGATTCGTTACTCGTTGAGCCACCATCCCGAGTTGAACCGATCTATGTGGATTCATCAACCGTCGAAGGACTCGTCACGACCTCGCGAGTAGACTCGGTGAGTGACGTGAGTCCAATCGGAAACACACATTCGAGACCGAGTGAAACCGAGTCTACCAAACGGAAACGTAGTCATCGGTGGGTCATTATTTTTTTGTTTATGATTTTGAAGAATGAGAATTATGAGAAGAGATCAATATTTTATAAGCGAACGTTATGACATTGTTTCGAAAAGAAAAAGGAAATTCTTCTTATCAAAAAAAAAACAAAAAAGGAAATCACTCAAACACACAAAAAAATGGAAATTTAGGTTGCTGTAAAAAATAAAATAAAAGGAAACTGATCATAGCGGTAAGAAAAAGTTACCGTTATCGTTACAACTGTCATTGTTTTTTTGACTGCATAACAATTTAGGAGAGAGAATTATTTTCATAACTCTTCTAAATTGCAACGTATCATGTAAAAGCTTATTATACAGAAGATGACATATACACATTTTTTTTCTTTTATGATGATATTTGTAACTTTATTTAACATTAAAACAAAAATAAAGTAACAAAAGGGTTACAATTTTGTTTCTTTTTGGTATAAAAGATTACAACGTTAACAATGTCGAAGACTACAATTGTAGAGAAGACTTTATAATCAAACATCAGCAAAAACATGGAAGTTCTTGGAATCAACAGAGATGAGTCTAACAGCAGCAATAGCAGCAGCAAGAGACATTAATCCAAAGACGCAAACATTAAGCCAATGCCATAGCTTTTGCACAAGACTAAGCTTATCGTTCATAGCAACAAGATACATGTGATTCGCTAATATGAATGTGAGAGGGAACGTGCTTATCGCTCCAGTGAGGCTCATGAAATCTCCGAGAAACGGCAAAAGCGCAGAGAGAAGTGTGCTCACCGCGATGTAGCTTCCTCGTGCTACTGTTCTAAACAACAGATTCTTCAATGCCAATGGACTTCCTTTGACTCCATACTTTGTGTCCATATACTCATAAGTCGGACTTGCAAAAATCTACGAAGTAAAACAGTTAAGCTTAAGATTCAGAGACACAAAGACTCATCATTGAGGTCTAAATAGCGGTTGAGGAAGAGAGACTTACATGTAAAGAGATAACAGATTGGAGAAAAGCTGAAATATTAGCGAGGGCTTTGACCCAGAGAGGTCCACTGACGCTGTTTAACAGATAAGTCGATGTCGAGGACCCGTAAGCCCAATAACCGATGAACGTAACCGCATACATCGGTAAAACACCAACAGTGAACTGAAAATACAGAGCCTTCATCATGTTTTTAACGACCGGTTGCTTCACTGTGGCCTAATAATTTGCACAAAAGTTTAGTGTCAGTCACAAAACAGAGAAAGATTCGATCGAGCATGGGTAGATCGACGACACTGACCTGTATTTCCGGGAGCATTCCCGTGTTGAATGCAAAAACTAGATTTGCAGCTGCTCCTGTTATGGTAAAGAGTTTGTTTATTGATGATCCTTGTATGTTGTAATCTCTTTCAGGTTTGTTTACTCCTATTAAACCAAAAAAAAAACACACACAAAATGGTGAAAAAACAGATTAATCAATGTATCTTAGTTAGTTTTTGTGGTTATATGAAATCATTTTGAGGTTTGGTTTAACAGGAAAGTTACCATCTTTAGCTGATAGAACTATTGCAACAACAATGTAGATTATGCTGAGGATTGTCGAAACTCCTAGCCAGATTCCAAGAGCTGATAAATGAGGAATACCGATTGCAAAAATCGCACAGACAACACCCGCGATGGCGATAAAGTGAGGCAGTTTCATGAGACTGTCATCTCTAAAAAGTACATAAACAGCCTGCAAACAATGCAAAAGCAGAGCCATATGAGCTAACTTTCGGATTTTCGCAACAACCCTGGTGGTTTCTTTTATTGTACCTTTAAGGCGGAACCAGCAAGTATGATGAAGCCACAATTAATCATGAAAAGATTGACATATTGCAATCCCCATGTAACACGATACATCTTTTTACCTGATTAATCAAGTCAATACAGTTCTCGTTAAGTGTAAACTTGAAATGTTTTTCGATATTGCTAGAGATTGATGGAGAGTTTACCATAGATGAAGCCTGCGAGATCTCTATAACGAATGTGTCTTTTGCCACCAAACTCATGAAGTTTAGCGATAAGAGTGTTTGCGTAAAGGGAGATCGCGGTAGCAAGAATGAGACCAACCACACCACCAATCCAACCCAAAGGAACCATGACTGTCCCCGAATATCCCAACACATAGGCACTGTTTATACCGGTTGTTAGAACAAATGCTACCTGAAACCATGAATCTGTACAATTTGTTCAACAGTTAAGCTTACACACACGCAACACTGAATAGACTATATGAACAAAAAAAACAGAGTCTATATAGCAAACTTCCCAGTTTTCTAGCTAAAAACTTTGAGGAAGAAGAAAACTGATCAAGAAACTTAAATTCCGTATTGAATGTTCACATTCTTGAATCATCAAAGCCTCATTTTTCACTAGAGTCTAGAGGGTATCCATCAAATCATCAAAGACAACATTTTTAACTATAGGACAGCGCCAAAATCATCAACTACGATATGTTTCACAAGAGGGCACCACCAAAATCATCAAAGACAACATGTTTTGTAAAGCCCTCATCATTTCAGTTCCTTAATGTTTCATATACATGCATCAGCAGCTTAGTATAGGGTAAAATCAGGAAACAAAGTATTATTGAATCTAACAAAGAAGACAAAAAGCTATTCTTTGTCTATGTATTATTTCTCAAGAAAAGTTTAATGAAAAAGGAGCATAATTCACCAATACTAAAAGAGTTTTCTTCAAGAAAAAGCTCGAGATTACGCAAAAAACGACAAGTAGATTCACCAAAAAAGAGCAGCAACAAACAAAAAAAAGGACAATAAAAACAAAAATTCCAAAGATAGAGGGGATAAGAAACGAACCGCTGCTAATCTGATGAGCAGTCTCAGGGACTTCGAGATCGAACTTTTCCACTTCAACAACTTTACGGTTCCTAGCTTCACTCGTATCCATGTTTCCGACAAGAATCTGTTAAATTCTTCTTCTGTCTCAGACTCCAAAAAAACCTTCACTTTCTCTTCCTCAATTTCCGAGAATTAGTTGCTCACACTCCAAAAAGACAACTTTTGCTTTGTTAGAAAGAATCAAGAATCGTAACAGACAGATTTTTTCCACAGGAAATGTGTGAAACGGAATTGATGAAAATGAATTCTGTTTGATCTTTTGGGTCAAATTTAAACGATGGGTCAGAGAGATGGATACGTCTCTCTGTGTGTGAATTATTTGCACGAGATCCTATATAATGGGTAACGCAAGTTTTAAGTGTATTTAAATATGAAGGAAACACTTTTATTTTTTTATTTTTTAGAAAAGAATCTTGAGTATCAAATAATTATGAAAGGATCTCATGATTGTTTATTTTTGGAAAGGAAATTGATTATTCCAATCCCTAAAATCTTACTACCAACTGATTATTGTAAACAAAATCAAAATTTCTTAATCTTTTTTTGGTCAAATAAAAAATTTCCTTAGTCTATTACAATTTATTAAGACTAGTAGAGTATTTTTTTTTTATGAACAAATGCGATTAATTCATGGAGTATTGTAAAAGACTAGTGTAGTTATTATAAATTTTATAAATGAAAACTTTAAAGTCAACGGAAAGCAGGTATGACCGTATGAACATAACTTCTGGCTTTACAAGATTTTTTATTTGACTAACCATAATGACATTATCTTCCTTTGACTTCTTATGGCATTATTTCTTGAAAATCAAAATATCTCTCTTTTTTACTATTTAACAAATAGATTCGTATCTATAGAAATCGACTCAAATCACATCTCCTCTTTGCTAGAATAATCCGAAGTTTATCTCAAACAATTTATTCAGTCCGTAAACGCAAATGAAAGTGCAACTAAAACAGGCTAACCAAAGAAAAGAAGCCAAAAAAATAATAATCTAAAATTTCACATGAGGAATTAATATGACTATGAGTGACGACATTTTGTTGTATAAGTGACGAAGTGAATGAGCCTAACAACGGTAACACACAGCTTTCTTAATGTTATTGAGATTAACAATTAAGTATTTATTTTATAAAAAGTTAAGTATGAAAAGTCTAAAATGAATTTATAAATCAAAATAAGCATTTACGCAATCTACGTGGCTTGACTTTGTAGAAACAAAAAGATCAAGACTCATGCAAAACTTTATTACATTTTTACCCAACATTATGATGGAATTTTGTTCTCGTCGACGTCGACAGTCGACTTAATTCCTTCCCAAAATAAATATAGATATCTCCATCGCGTTCACATGTGTATTTGACTTTTTATTAATAACTACATTAAGATTCTATTTGATCATTTATCTAAATAAGTTTCATGTCATTTACTTAATTATGTATCTCTGTTATTTTTACAGATTTGGGTTCTGTAAATAAATCTTTTTTTCTTTTTCTTTACAACGATTGTCACTCAGTGGCGGAGCCAGAATAATATATTATGGGGATCATATATTAATATAACTAATAATAATATTAAATTATTTATTTTAAAAATAATATTGTGAAATAAATTTCAGTATTTTAGATACTATTTTTTGGTCTTTTAAGATGAATTACATATAATTAAGAATAATATCATTATTGTAACACAAAACCTAATAGTTATTATTGAAAAACATAAACGATTAAAGAGAAAAAGAAAAAAGAAAAATAGAAAGAGGGGTCAAAGAGATCCTTGAACTTGAGACATGGGGGTCAAATTACCAAAATCAAACAAAATTTTCCATGTCATAATATCTATATAGGCTTGCAAATCAAATTTTATAAATGTTATGGGGGTCAACTGACCCCCCTCCTCATTAGCTACCTCCGCCACTGTTGTCACTCTATGTATGTATCAGATTTTTTGCTATAGGTACATGATAGGAGAAAGACAGATCCCAAAATATACGGGTTTTCATGGATAGAAATTCTTAAAATTTACTCGTAAAAGGATGTCAAGGGTAGAATAGATATTCTTTTAATTCAGATGGATTTGAAGTTTCGAACAAAGAAAATTTCCAAAATCAACCTTTTTATTTTTTTCAACACTGGAGCAGTTTTCTAGAGTATAAAATTATAGGTAAACATTACTCTTGAATTATGTTTTTGTCGGAAAAAAATAATTTTAAACATAAGTATCTTTTTGGTTCAAAATAATTCAAACTTTTGGTTATTCAAATTACAATATAAATTATACCTCAAAATCTAAAACCATACTTTTTACATATACTCTAAAAAAACAATCTTCATGAAATGAAAAGAATTGTGTGTTTTTCTCTACATGTAAAACTAACAAAAAAAGATGGTGAATTTTAATATGAAGTTTTGATCTTCAGACCTGTGGGTTATGGGCCCACCACGCTTCCGCTGCACCACTCTAATTAATTTGGCATTGTTGTGAATCTGATATCTATAATTATAATTAAACATGTATTTAAGGACTGTTTAAGATTTCTATTTCTATTTTAGGAGGATTGATTTACATACTTTCTTATATTTACGTAAAATGCATATTTGAAAACATATGATATTGCACAAACTATTTTTGATCTTGCTCATCCGGTTAAAGCAAAATAATTAATTCAAGAGATTGGTATGCTTTGAGCATAAAGAGAGGTTTATTATAAGATTTTCAAGAAAGATGCCATAGAAAAGGAATGGAGAGAATAGATAAGAGATGTTGATATGTAAGTCAAATACCAAACAATAAACATGCATTCGAACAGAACTAGCGCAGATATATATGGAGTAAAGATGTTATCTTTGTTTTTTTTTTTTGGGTTTAATTAATGTGAAGAAGTTATCTTTGTTTTCTTCAAAGAAACATTCATCAGGTTAAAGATTCAACCAATTGGAACATTATTGCATATATTTATGCCTAATTAAACACTCACTAAAAAGAGAATGTACTGTGGTGCCTTGCATAGTTTTTTTTTTATTGCAAGGAATGTATGTAGTCTCACTGATTGGGCATGTTGGTAAGATAAAATAATCAGTTCATGGGAGTTGTAAATTGTAATAACCAGTTTATGGGAGTTGGTGGGAATAGAAGGTACCTTAAGGTATTAGTGAAACAATGTAGTTTAAGGCATGGTTGTTGATGATAAGTTTATGTCTGATCACTTAATTTATGTTGTCCAACTTTTCTTCCCCACGCAGAGGATAATTCAATGAAATGCGAATAAACGAGAGCAAAGAAAAATGTGAGAGAGAAATTTTTTATGTTAGAACAAAGACATTCAACAATAAAGCATTAAATATTTTTTCATTTGGCAAAAAAAAAATCTTACATGCATTTGACATTGAACTTACATCTAATAAAAGGTTGACCCACGGTAGAAAAACATTAAGTGGCTCAAAACCTTTTAATAGGGATCAGTGGAGAAAAGAAAGCTTGACCAGTGAATATATATCATTATCTATTTAATTACTTTACAGTTAAAAGTTAGCAATTTTCCAATAAAAGGAGGACAAATCATTGTATTGGAAGTCTCTTTACACTTTCACAAAGCATCGAATCGAGGAAAAACGGTCTATTTCCCCACGAGAACTATTGATATCATACCAGATAGAGCCCAAACTTTAATCTCGGTCCATATGTCCATAAAATCAAAGTTCTATTCCTATTTTCCCCCCAATTGAAAGTTTCATAGCTTAATGTCCCCGAGTCAATAATTAGAGAGCTAAAACTCCACGGAGCTGGGTTAAATCGGTTTACGAACTAAACCTGATAGAAAACCAAACAAACTCAACATAACCGAAATTAAAACCCAGACCCAATCTAAAACCCAACCATAAGTCACCCAAATTCTTCTTCTTCTTCACCGAATCTCTTTAATGGCTTCACCACTTCTTCTTCTTCACCAAACCACTTTAATGGCTTCGTAGCTTTCACCAAATCACCAAATTTGTTTAAGTAACCAAATCACCAATATGTTTAAATCACCAAAGCACCAGCTCCAAAGCCAAATTTAATTAACCTCCATTGACGCCAGCATCGCACCAGCTTCCTCTATCTCTAACCTCTGCTCATTTCTCTTCAACTTCTTCTTCGTCTCGCTCCTCTGTTTCCACTTCATTGCTTTCTCCGTCCACTCCTTCTCTCCCTCTCTTACGATCACCACCGATCCGCCGCCGTTACCGCTCCCTCCGCCGTCGTCTCTCCTTCTCTTTCATACCCCGTCGTACTTCTCACTCCGTCTCCACTTCCAGTTCTTCTCAGGTTTTTCTTCTGATTACTTTGCTCTCTTCTAATTTCAGATTCAATCGTTTCCTCAAATGTGTAATACATATACAATTCACTGTCAATTCGGAGCATGTAGAGGGAGGATTAATGTAATGTGTTAATTTTTTGTTTGGGATTATAGATTAGGTGTTCGATAGATGAGCCTTTGAAGGTGATGATTTCGGGTGCACCGGCTTCAGGCAAAGGCACTCAATGTGAGCTCATTGTTCAAAAGGTAATCTTCCAATGTTCTGGAAGACAACCAAAACAATTAAGGAGGAAATTCTCAAAAAATCTCAATTCTAAGATCGTAATGATGATGTTATCTTCGAGGTTGCTCCTAAAACTGAAGTCAAATTTAATCAATCTTAATTCCATATGAAATAAGATTACGTGAGAAAATAACAAGTTGGATTCTCGTTTCTAGGGTTCTTCAAGACAAATTGTTCTTCAAACGAATCTGATTTTGGCGATATGTGCTTGGTTTTACATCTACCCGGGTTGTTATCGGGTTTAATACGGTTTAGTACTTTTGTTAGGTGGTTAAATAAACAGTAAACCAAACAAAACCGATGACAATGGGTAATTTAGATGAGATCTATTATTTCGGAGAGATATAGGATGAAATCTATTGTTTCAGAGAGACATAGATTGAGAAGTAGTTTTTCGGAGACATCTAGATCGTGGTCATAGATTGGGCTCTATCTAGTATGATGTCATAGTTCTCGTGGGGAAATAGACCGTTTTTCCGAATAACTCTAGAAGAGATTTGATATCAATGGTCACATATTTTCATTTAAAATACAACAAGTGTAGGCGTAGCCTTATAAATTACGCTAACAATTCACACAACGTATAGTCATTTACTCATTTCTTATAAACTAAAACAACTATAGAAAATATTTGATTTTTTTCTTCTTTTAGGAAACAAATCTCTGGTCAGCAAAAGTTTGTTTTAACCCGATCTCATTTAAGTTTCACCCATTTTCATGGTTATAG